AAAATGAAATAAAAACATCACATTTACCAAAAGAAGTCTACACTCTACACTTAGAAACTACAACTATCATCTGTCTGGTTATTGGGCAGAATGTTAGTAAATGGTCTTACACTTGCCTTAGTAAATAGTCTCTTGTCATGGACCGTGTTGCTGCAACTCGCAAATTGGATTCAGCTGCTCCAACAGTATTAGCTAAGCGTGCAACGATGTTACAGGCTGTTACCTGTGATATTTTCCACTCCAATGGATCCACAGGTACCCTTCATACACAAAAAAAGAAGTTGTTACTTTGTAGATAATGTGATTGCAAGTGTCTTCCAAACAGTGCGAAGTGATCATCATTATCAACAACACTTTTGGGCTTATGACTTGTGCATTGATCGCAGAAGAGGTATTAGAATTATAGTGTTACGAGGAAACATATCAACCAGCCACAGGAAAGCATATCAAATTTTCCAAGAATTTTTTGTTCCCATATTTTGATGATACAGCAACTAGTTTTCAGTTTGCATCACAATTTACCGGTTTGATTTCGGTTCAAACATGATTGATTTGGTTTGATTCAATACAAATGTGTTCCACTGCTCCAAGATTGGTCAACCCACGTAGAGCACTTCAGAAAATTATTGGACTTATTGGTGGGTTGAGCCAGGCCCATGCTGTAGTGCAACGCATGGGCGACTCTTGAAAACCCAGATAGCAAGCTATCTTAATGGGCTTTCTCCCTCAAAAAATAGAGTTAATATCGTGAGGTCCGATGGACCCCATATCAGATATTAAACTGATAAGAACAGATACTACACTTGATCTTAGCCAAAAGGCCGAGAAAGGTATGAACTGTAAGTTCTACACGACGTGCTTCATATACACATCGAACTAGAGCGAACATATCTTCAGTAGCCGATGTGGGACACAAAAAACTCAAGGCGTTTGACATGTTCTTCCCAACTGCTATTATTTGACACGTGTTGCGTGTGACTGGTCTAGGATGTGATGAGTACAGGATCTCTTACTTTTTTCTGAAAACACTTTGTTCACTGGTCACGATCTCTCTTTCTCTGTCTCAACGACCATTAGATTGTTCCACATGTGCTATACTCAAGCTCTAGCTTCTCACTACTAATGGTAATTTTTTGTTAATATCACAGGATTCTAAAGACTATTACAAAGAAGTCTGGTGATGTATCCATGCTTTGTAGGTGTGTACTAAACATGTTATTTTGTTGAATTCTAAATCATTGATTATAAACTGAATTCGAATGGTTGCAAGCGAGGGAGACACTATAACTGGTGATGACTTGTATGCTGTAAGTTAGCTGGATGCTTCCACAATCTGTTCTTTAAATTGGGAACAGCTTTTCTGACAGTCACAGTAATATTTGAAAAGCAGACCGTCTTTGAGAACACTCTGAAGTTTCAGAAGTTTGAAGATCCAGCTGAGGTGAAGATACACCTGTTGCCAAATTGAAGTTGTATGGCTGACAATGGAATCCAAGCCTTGGAAGATGTAACTGGGTCTGCTTGAGCCATCATCATAGCAGAATGATGAGTTAACGAATCTAGCTTTGTGCCAAAGAAAATCAGTGTGTAGTAGTTATGTTGCCTCTGTAACATATTTGATCTATACTTCTCTCTTCATGATTTCAGTTTTTTTGTTGGTATAGATAAAAATAGTATAGACCTGTCAGGCATTGCCTCTAATGGCTCAAAGGAGTTGATACAAGATTCCATTGTGCTTTATAAAGAGAGTCGAGATCACACAATTGAAAAGTTTAAGGGAAAACACAACACAGATCCAACATAAGTTATTTAACAATGACAAATCGATAAGCAGCGTTGAAGATATCCAATGAAGAAGTAAGGATTAACCAGGTCCGACTTTAGGGATATCGTAGTGCTCACTCATGTTAGCAAGATACTGATTGAAATCTTCAATCCTGTTACGGTGAGACTTGTTCGCTTCCTTGGCTAGCTTCTGCACATCAAGTCTCTGCTTCTGCTCTATGTACCTTCTTTCTGCAGGAGTTAAAAGATCATCGTCGTCGTGTTTCGACAATTCACTCCTACTCCCTTCATCTTCTTCTTCTCCTTCTCCTTCAATCAATTTACCTAAAGCTTCGGTGTTTTCTCCTTTAACCAAAACGACAATACACACAACATATCGATTAGAATGTCAAGAAAAAGCCTAAATAAAATGGTTATAGAGATGCTAGGTAATGAAGCGGGACTTGTGTACCTTCTATGAGCTCATGATCAGTAATTGTAAGAGCTTGTTCCTCTTGTTTCCTCTGCTTCTTCTTCTTCTTCTTGACTCCACCTGCTTTCACATCTAAAGCCTTCCCTTTTAGCTTCAGCTTCCCACCAATAACGTTGTCGTATGCCGACATCTCTCAGCTGCTAGTAACAACACATTACCACACAACATATATTAGAAACGAAACCGCCAACTATAAATAATCCAAATTAGACAAAGACGCAGAATGTTTGAAACTTAAAAAGTCAGTGACTAGTTCAAAACAATGATAAGTAAAAACTAGGCAGAGGTATAATTTGTACAAATCATTAGTAAACATAATCAGAATCAACAAAGATCTCTACTTCAACATGCTCAGATCAATAAACATCAGCGAACCCTCTATTTTTTCCCCTATGAATCAATCAGATATCACAGACCTAAACCTCGAACAAAATCAATCAAACAATAAAAGTAATTACATAACCTAGATGTTTTCGTCAAGGAGCTATTGTAGATCTCTAGTGTATACACTAATAATCAGCATAGAATCCATAGCTGCCTAAGAATAATCTACGTGGTTTAGTATCTTAGAATCACAGAAAAAACGAAGCAGAAGTATTAGTATCAAATCAATCACCTGAAATCGAAAGAGGAGTTTGCAGAACGCGAGAGCCAGACGAGAAGATTTATATTCTCTTTTATTTTCCCACAAGGAGAAGTAATTGTATTTTTTTGGGTCAAAAATAGGTCGGTGGGTTTTCCGCCGAAGAAGCCCAATTATAAGCCCATTTAATGAGTTTCTTGTTCCCGGAATAAAGGTAACAAGATAAGGATTTCAAATTGGTTCTTGGAATATGTCAATTGGTTCACTTTGTTGATATCATTGCCCAAAGATACTCAAGTTTTGGTGTGGTCGTGGCGATGTAATGGGACATCTCCTTTGAGATATTCTACAATTTCTTCACAGATGATAAGAGTTGATTCACCTCGTAGGGTCATGTGGGAGGGAAACTCTCCGGAAATGTGGAGTTATGCCCGATGCTGTCAGCACCATCTTGTGAAAAAACGCATTCTGCATCCCAGAAACCAATGCGGAAGATCAATCTTGTGAAAGATGCAAGGAGAAAGAGAGGTCATCATACCAGTTTAAATACAACACGTTTGGCAAGAAAAAGACGGAACAATAGCAGTTTGCGAATCTTTCAACGGATGAAACTGTACACAGAGATATATGCCAACAAAGCGGAAACAACAGCATGAAGTTGTTGCTGCCATATATTAAATTCGTCTCTGATTTCTTCACATAAGACCAACCCCTCCAAAGCGACCGACCATTGTCCCCAAGTTCAGCTGCAAGCAGTCACACAAGACCGCCTAAATTGATCAAAAGATAAGATTTGCCTCAAATTGCTCCTATGTCTGAATGCTGAAACATTTTGATTTGTAGATTCCACCAGGAACAACAGTAAATAAATATGATAACAAAAAAGCTAACTTTTACGAGTCTCAACTTTTAATCAGATTATGTTCCAACAATAACGATTTAAAATTACCTAACACAGCACAAGAAACAAAAGACTCATAAGGAACCGAATCACTGTTCTAACATTTTAAGACGGATCTGTCCCACTCTTAACAGCAGACCAAACCTGACCAATCCCTCTAGCAACATGAGGCCAAACGGCGCTAACTCCGTTAAGCGCAGCACCAGAAGCTAACCCTAACACAAAAGTCTCGACGTATCCAGGCTTCGTCTCCAACTTGGCGTCCACGACTGCGAGCCTTCCACTAATGGCGTCGATTTTTCTCCCGTCAGCGACAAGCTTGTTCTTACTTGAGGCGTTCTTCGAGGAGGAAGCGACTCGGACGAGCGCGTTCTGTAGGTCTTCGATGACTTTAACCGAGGCTTCAGCTGCTTCGAGTCCTCCTTGTTTCTGGTAGTGTGAGATTAGCTCCGTTGCAGTTGGGAATTTCTTGGATTTCTGCTTTGCTCCGGTTTGGTTTTGTTCTGGTTTGGTTTCTTCCGTCGCCGCGGCGTTTGGTAACGTAGGTTGCTTCATCTTCTTCTTTGGAGAGATAGAGATGGAAATTGATTTTCTTATCTGGGAACTCAAATGTACAGCTAGCTAGTAGGTTGGAGATGGAAGGTGATGATAGAGGAAATATTACAACTTTTGGGTAATGTTTTCTTCGTGGGCCTTTAGTTGGGCTTTTGGGCCCGCGAGTATTATGAAATAAGTTTTTTTTTTATCTAAAAAAAAGGACTTTGTTATTCCACCAAAGCCACATTTGTATTCACAGTTCGGGTACTAGGTAACCAGCATTGATGCAAAGCACACATTTGTTCCACGGCTAGGGTTTAGATCTACTATAACTGTTTAGGCGGTTAAGTAAATGCACTTTGGTGACATATGTAGCCAAATCAATTCTCTTAAACCTTTTCATCTACCACAAACCGGGATGTTACATTTTCTTTCCTCAAACTAATTAATGGATTTTGAACCGCTAAAGTCTAAACGAAATAAGAAGACAATAAAATACTTTCTCTTAAGGTTGTGAAGGTTTAATAGTTAACTACCACCGAACCAGGCGTACATGTGATTCAAAAAAATAAGTAACAGATATGTGTTCTTGTTTGAAAGAGAACAAGAAGGTAGAGATGAAATGAAATTTGGCCAGAACTAGGCATTAAGGGAAGAAATGTCAATTTTCCTAGGAGCTTGGACAACGTTCTTGTTTCCAGGGAAGGACTTGCGGGAGACGTCCACGAGTGCTTTGAAGCTGTAAGGTTCATGCATAGACAACTCAGAGAGGACTTTACGGTTCAGCTGGATGTTCTCCTTCATCAGTCCGTGGATAAAGTTACCGTAGTTCACCTGTTTCAAGCTTTAAAATGTTAAGATTCCACAACTTTCTTCACCAGAAAGAAGGTATTAATCCGCATCAATTAGCATAGATACAAAGAAATACAGTCCTTAAACAAGAGAACCAAGACTAGAAATTAACAGAATTCATTAAAAAAAAAGAGAAATATAAGGACAAAACAAATGTAATAGAGCTAGATAAAAATGTTTCTGAAACCATTTGACAGATAAGTATTTGGTCGTATGGTCATATTACCGATCGAAAAGATTCAACTTCTGTAAAGCATCTTTGAGCTTCAAGGTAACAAAACAAGAAATCTGAAATGCCCCTACTCAACATTCGATATAGTTATGTCGTTCTTCTAATTATATCCAATAAGTTCTATTGCAAACACAGAGTGCCACTAATTTAGAAAAACAAATAAAACAAAACTACAACTTATGAGTTAGACTAAAAGAAGCTGATCTAGATTGGCAGATTAAGCCAACCACTATTCTCAAAAGATCTCATTGCTAAACTAATCATCGTAGCTAGAAAGAAATCGAATCAAAGGCAGTCAACGGAAGCAATCAGACAAAACTTTAATCAAAGGCCAAGAAGAACGTACACCGTGCTGACGAGAGCCAGCGTTGATACGCTCGATCCAGAGACCTCTCATCTCACGTTTCTTGTTGCGTCTGTCTCTGTAAGAGTACTGAAGAGCTTTCTCAACTCTCTCCCTCGCGATTCTTATGCAGTTCTTCGCTCTTCCCCTGAAACCCTTTGCTAGCTTGAATATCTCCTTCTTGTTCATCTTTCTCCTCCTTTCTCTCTTCTTCTTTTCCTTCTCTTTCACTGTTAAACGCCGCCTCTCTGTGTTTTTCCCTTTGTGTGTTTCAGTTCTGTGTCGGGTCGGATCCGAGACGAATCCGGTCACAGTTGAATATCCCATTTAACATAGTAAGGCCACAAAACTATCTAATGGGCCTCACTCCATTATAACCAAACAGAAGACACGTGTCGTCACGTCAGGAAAAAAAAACATTAACACGTCAAGAAGATGAGACAGAGAGTCAAAAGAAAGCTCCGGAGAAGACTTTGCCGGCAAGTTGCCTATGTTTCTCCGACGTCTTCATTTTTGGACTCTTTGACGGGGTTTTGTGACGTACGTGTACTTGTTGATCAGAGATAGACGTGACGGAACTATGAGCACAATCTGAAATTTCATGTTTGCGCTTAATGAGAGAAGATGCACGCTTTAACTGCATAAGTGACTCTTTTACAATGAGTGTTGTGTAATAGAAAACATAGTCTCGCACCCTTTTCTTGTACTACACAAACTCAAAGCTGAATATAAGAAAACAATGTTACTGGAGATACCAAGGGAAGAAAAGATTCTTGTCTGTACAAATTATACAAAGTACGTATGTATTTATGTAATGTATATCAGAGGTTGAGATGAATACAAGAGACAAAACGGAATCAAGGATTCTTCTTTTCACTTCTGGATTGCGAGGGAAACTTTGTGGTTTGTATCATGTGTTCTTCTCAAGTACAGATAAAGCAGGAGTCAGATAGTTGTTCGCCTTGTCTGGCAAATGAGCCACCTGAAAGCAATAGACAAGAGAAAAAAAGGTAATTTAGATCATATGTAGAAGAAGTAACTGTAAGTTATTCTTATGGTTTATTCCTACCAGCTCGTAGAGTTCTATTCCTTGCTCAGCGACGTATTCATGGCAAACCTGCAAGTGAAAGCAACAGGATGTGAGGAGATCCAATGTTGCGGTTTCTTTTGTTCATAGGTCATAGACTGAATCTTAGGTGTGGTTACTTATGATATGAGTCAATAGTTGAATAATTTCTTAAGCTGCTTTTATATAGATTGCAACTCACATCAAAGCTTTTGTTTCTCGCTGTCGAATCGTGCAGTGACTTGACACAAATATCAGCCACATCCGCGCAGCTGATACCCTGTAAAATAATGGATAAATAGCGCATTTGGAAGTTGAGTGACTTCGTTGGGAGAGAGCGTAGTTACTTGTGTTGTGATCGAAACTAACCTGAGATATTCTGTTTCCCTGATCAAATATCAGAGCTCGTTGACCGCCTGGCTCCTCCTGTCTCAGAAAATTTGTATATATTGTCAATCCATAAACATATACATTGGCTAAAGCTCAAAGAAGAGTTACCTTCAAGGGACCGGGACGAATAATGGTGTATCCAAGGCCTGATCTTCTCAACGAATCTTCACCAGCCTGAAAATTTTTAGCAGACGGTCAGAGAAAGAACAAGAGATGTGAAAACATACAAACCACTGGCTCAACCGCCCTAAAAATGCGTAGCCTCAAGACAGACCAAGAGCTGTTACAATGTGTGCTTCAGAAAAAAGGTAGACTTACCCTCTTAGCTTTTAGCACTTGCTCCCTTCTGTTGGGTTCAACTCCAGAACCAGTACATGAAACCAAAATGAAATCGGTTTCTTGACCCGCCTGCAGACAAATAGCAAAAAGTCATATCTCTCCTGTCCTTTAGAGATAAACTTCATCAAAAAGCATTAAGTTGGATTACTACTTACAGGCAAAGCTTTGATGTACTCGAATATAAGGCTAAAGCTTCTTAGATCTTGTTGTGCACCAGCAACACCATCAACTGGTCTCTGAAAGAGAGAGAAAAACACCCAATACATTGCTAAACTCACACACCAAGGAATGAACGTATATGGACAAAGATAAGCATCCAAAAAGAGAAGCACACCTGTCTTTTAGGCTCAAAACGTATTGTCAATGTATGAACGAGAAATGGATCTAGCGGTGGATCTTCAGGGTTAACCGGACGGAAAGCTGAAAATGGTACCCTTACCTGCCCAAAAAACCAAAGTTTTAGCCAAAGAAATAGCCCGAAAGGGGTAGCATTAATGAGCAAGAGAGCAAGACCCAAGATGCTTATCATACCCGACAAAATCCAGCTTTGGTAGTAATCCTTGCAAAGTACAGTTTGCTTTGAGACATATCTGATGATGGACCAGCTTCAAGGATTACAACATAGGATCTTCCGTTCCCACCAACAGAAAGAACTAAGCCTTCATACCTATTGATATAAACGCAATATTCACACAAACAAAGCTAAGGCTAATAGATCCAATAATTTCACAGAATAGCTGAACGAAATGATGGTAAACACATCATAAAAAAAAAGCGCAATACCTGTCAAGAGTGGAACCTAGTGGAAGTGAAAGTTTCTTAGACAACTCAACATATCCTCCTCGGGTGAAAACATAACCTGCATATGAAACCCGGTTAACTCAGAAGAATAAACTTTTTGCATTGCCTAACTCTCATAAGAGTGAGTGTATACCTGAAAACTCAGCTCTCTCAGATTCAGTAAACTCAAACTTAGCATCCATCCCACCATCATATTTAGAAGCAGTCGTGTCCTGAAAGTAAGTTCCTTGCCGCACTTCCCAACCATCAAGCGCCTCAGCAGACTTAAACTTCGCTATCAAAAGCTTGCTTTTACTACTTTTACCAGCTCTCAGCTGCGCCAATCTGTTATTATAATCCTACAAAATACTCAAAAAAAAAAAAAAACACTTGAATCACTACTCTCTGCTCAACAAAAACAACGCTTAGTCATCATATATACCTGAAAAGCCTTGGTGAGGTTATAAACACCCAAATGATCAACCCTAACAAGGTCAGCAGTAATAGTAGACCTAGCAGTTGCGCAGTAAATAATCTTACTGCAACTTTCCACTGCAGACTTAAGCGTCGACGGTTCTCCCACATCTCCAACCACAATATCTACTGATCTTGGTAACATACTAACCACTTCTTCATCAGTCTTCCTCACCAGTGCCTATATAAAAAAAAGCATTTGAATAAAACACACCAAAATACTATTCTATTTAAATGAATAACTGAAACCTTGACAGTGTAGCCACGTAGCATTAATTTACGGACGACAATACGTCCAATTCTACTAGTAGCTCCAACGACTAAAACGGTGACGTTTTGAGCTCCGGGGACAGCGAACTCACACATAGGTCCTTCTCTAATTAAAAGACTGTCGAGAGCATCCTGCTCATCGGGCCGGTTCGTCCTCGAGATCTGACCTAATCCTGAGAATTTCCGCCACACCTCGTCAAAGAGCTGCCTCGATCTCCGTCCTAATCCCACGGGATTCACGTCGTCGAGTTTCAACGGCGGAGACGACGGAGATTGAGTCTGTGGCGGCGGAGGAGGAGTCTTCGCCGCCGTCTCAACTTCTTCTTTAGTAGCTGTGGTTACGGGACGGTTTCTGGGCTTCTTCTTGTCGGAGGATGGAGGAGGAGGTGGAGAGGAAGAAGAGGAAGATTGAGCTCTAGGGATTGCGATTTGGGACCGATCGTGAAAATCCCATCGGTGGATTCTGGTGAAAGTGTTGCCGAAACTCGAACTTAGAAACCTCGCGTCAGTGGTCGCCATGTTACTACTTCCAACAATACCACTCATCATGTTTTGAAACTCTGTTTCTACAATAAAAAACAGAACAGAAGCGTTAAGGAAATATTTACATAATATTTCAAAAAATATATATATTTTGGATAATTATGTATACATACAATTGTTATATGAATGTTTGCATGATAGCCTGTGTCTGAAAAGACTCTTCTTGGTTGAGACTGGAAACGGATAACGAAAGTGAGATTCTTTATTTCTTGTGAGGAAATATAAAAACAAAGTGAAGAGTAAATGGTTGGATCAGAGGAACGAGGAGAGAGGGAGACCACAGAATCTGGTTTGTGTTTTTGGACAGTGATATTGACTTGTGAGCCAATTAACAAGCCACGTACACTCTCGCTTTTCCTCTTCTTTTTATTTTCCCATAAGAATTTATTTTTGAATGAATAATATTATGAGAATTATTGTTAAATAATAAGGGAATCGAAGTTTTTGTTAAAAAATAACACACATAATTTTCTCTCAATAAAATGTACTTTGATTTAGGATTTAGTGACTAAAATTTAGTATTTATTAGATGGGCTTATAGCTTATGCTTCTGAAAAATGCTATTTATGAGATTTGGTTTTAATTTTATTAGGAAAATTAAGAATCCTTAGGCCTGTCAGTGATAGAGATTTACCTTGTTAAAGCAAAATCTATTCCAATTAAAGATCTGAAAAATGTTATATATACAGCGACTTCAAAAATGTTAGAGACGTATCCGTAGACACTCCCTTTATCTTACTTGCCTTGCCTAGAAGAAGTTATGGTAAGCAGAAACAGAGTATGTATAATCAATGAATCACCAACCATATCAAGCTACTGAACTGAATTAAAGTGTCTGGACTCTGATTTCTTCCTTTTTGCGACCTGACCAGAGCAAAAGTCACAGCATCTACTACCAAGATCCTTCTACTAAAGTGGCACTTAGGCTGACAAACTCTTCAAGTCACCCAAGAGTTTGTTCCCCAAGTTAATCCTCATCACCACCACTCCATGATTTGTCACCAAAAAAAAAAACGAATCTATCTGTTAAACCGTTATAGGATTTTTTTTTTGTATCCTGCTTCTTACGAGGCTTAACTAGCGGGTTATACTCACTTCGTCGTCTTCTTCCTTTCGGAAGGAAGATTAGATTTACATTTCTGTTTTCTATCCTAAAATGAAAAATATATCCATAGTAATCAGCCGTAGGTCCCAGCGACTTCTGCAGCTCTTTGTCGCACCATCTCCATGACGGCTGCTCTGCGCCGTGATTCTGATCGCTGCTGTAACCTTCTCAGATGTTCCTTTAACTCCCTAAATAGAGAGAGAGATTCACAATGATCAATACAGACCATTCGCTTAAAAAAAGATTTGCCATATGCTATGCCAGACTTGTAAACTATCCTAAAACTTAACAGCAAGACTCGAATGAAAGAAGGTTAACTAGTGAATGATCCCACAAACAAATCAAGTTCGAAAGTGTTAGACAGAGAGAGAAGTTAATAAGATTACCCGCATCGAGTCACTTCGCAATTTGAATCATTGCAGTCCCGAGCGTGGCTTCGCAAGAGATGCCAGATTTTCTTGCACTGAACACATCCTCCTACAGCTTGTATTTTGCAACGAATGGCATGTCTGAATAGCCCTTTAACAATGCGGCAGTTGGGATATTGACAATCTGTAGCAGGACGGCATAGCCGCCCATGCAGCAGAAGATCGCGCATTTTCCTGAACTGTACACAACGAAAACGTTAATGTAGAGAAGTATCGAGAGCTAAACGATATCTTCAGTTTTCTCTCAAACCAGAAGCAACTTAGAGCAAGAAAAGAAGGTGCAGCTATTTTCAAGAGGAAAGAATATCTTTAATACCTGCAAGTCTCGCAATTGCCTAGCTTCTTTATTCTGAACATTCTGATCAGCTAGTGATGGATGATTTATCAACTTGTGAGGATGATTAACACAGCCTTCTCTACTGTAACAAGTATTGCAAACGTCGTAGTCCGGGCAAACTTCACAACGCCAGCCTTGACCACTTTCGATATCGAGGCGACATGCGTTACATGTTGAGACAAAAGCAGGAGCAGTTGGATTGTGCAAATGATAAAGCACCATCATGGAAGAATGTTTTGCCCGCCTCAGTGTATCATACTGATAATGATTCCCTTGACAAAGACTAAGGAATGCTTGTCTCGTTTCGAAAAATTCACTTTCAAGTATCTCATCTCTATCCGTGGTGTCTGCAGGAATACCGGTGATCTCAACCTACAAAACACATCTCGTGAGATAATATAAAACACAGAGGCACATGAGACTAGTCGTGAGAACCTCTTCTCAATTCCAAAACAATCTGATACGAGTTTGCAACTTTGCTTTTGCTCCCGTAATAGGAGCCGTTGTTAACTCGAGAAAAGAGAACCAAAATAAAGACTAAACTATGTTATCGTTTTAACCCTAGTGGCCAAGTTAAACTAAACTAGAAAGAAAAACTAAAACCTAACCAAAAGTATTTTTTCTTTTAACTAAAAAAATATATACCAAAACTCAATTATTTCGTTGATTGTATGTTAAACCGTAACGTGTATCACAATTCAATATAACTTACATGATACAGTGTATGTTGAACCTTTTGATTAACAGGATGCCTTTCTCTGACCCCTCGTTTCTGTTCAGCCTCATAGCACCTGAAAGGTTGAATAACATATCAGAGATAGCATCACTCTATCAGGTAAAACACACACATGGGTTTAGCAATAAGTCTCTTCCAACAAAAGCGCAGAAAAGAGAGAAAAGAATTAACTAGCAGAAGAGAAAGGACAATTCTTACCCGTCACATAACTGGAAACCTTTGCACTGGCTGCAAACCCAACGATTTCCAGTTACCATCAGTGCACAGCAATGCGTGCAACAAGGCTGCAAGTGAACCATGATAAAATCCTCCTTCATGGGGCGAATAGTCTCACCAAGCTAAAAACGTACATAAATAAGATTAACAAGCAAGCACAGAACGATACAACAGAGACGAACTACTGAAACTGATATGCAAGAGAGAAAAGGTGCTATAATACTTTATGCATTAGCAGCTGATCTTTGGACGTATTTCTAGAAAGATCGGACTGGCCGAATCCTTTTAGAGCCCTTTTTGTAATGGGTTTCTTCAGAACTCCTTTCTTATTACCATCATCTTCTTGACCCATTTGTTGTATGATATCCTCTGCTGCACCTGGCCAATAGTCACCATCGAAATACGGGAGCCTAGCTGCCGTAACTTTAGCTCTACATTCACCAATTTGCAAGAAAAAATGGTCATACAGATTTGTAGTTGCCGCTACAATCCCTTCCTTTGCAGCTTTTCTCAACATAGCTAAGTACCTGTACAAGGAGCAAGTGGAGGATGTAAAAGATTTTTTCATACGATAATTTTATGAAGAAAGTTACCAAAGGCAATTGGACTGACCACCCCCGTAGTTTATCAGACTTTGGTGTTTTCTGAATTTCTGGATGGCAATAAAGGATATAGTCATCACCCTTCAGTGGTGGACAAGCCCATATATAGCAGCTCGTGAAACCACGCATTTTGCAGTATTCCAGGTAACCAATCTGAAAAAAGCCTCAATGTATACCCTTGAATTCTCCATGCAATGTAAAGACCACATAAGTCTTGGTTAAAAGAAGGACTTACTAGAATTTCTTGGTAAACAAAAGTGCGCAGAGCCTCTCCATAAGCACATTTAATCGCAGGTCTAAAGTACTTCACAGAATCCAGATACGAGAGATACACACGTCGGTGATTAGGAGATAAACATTCGGATCCAAATTCTTGGACATACATCCCGAACAAGCAAACTTCTACACCTTCAATCTTCTGGAACAGTAGAACCACCTGACAAAAAGAAATGTGGAGAGTGAAATGTATTACTTGAAGAGTGGAATCATGAAAATGTGAATGTGAAGCAAATACAATAGTGGTATGCGAAAATCATTCTTACCTTGGACTTGTATGGAAACTCTGTGGGGAAATTATCCTCCCTAAAAGTTTCAAGAAATCGAGATTTGACTTCCAGCTTCTTGTCAACGGATAAAACAACTCTAACAACAAGGGATTCAGCAGTAGGAATCTGTCAGTGGCAGTAAAAGGAAAAACAATGAGTGACCAACCAGTAAACTTTAATCTATTGTTTCCAGAGAAGCACAATCTAATAGAAGATAAGACTCAGATTACCTCATCATAAATTTTTCCTTTAGCCATGGCTCTCTCAGTCCTTTCCTGCTCCATCCTTTGAAATAAACGCTGCTCTATATGGTCACTGAGAATCGTTTTTGGCAGGTCTTTCGCTCCAAGAAAAGCACTTTGAAGTAAAGGCTTTCTCTCATTGTGCTCCACCTCAAGTATATAGCAATTTGGGCAGGTGTACTCAGCTTGGCCCCCGTCGTTCCTTCGGCCATTAAATAGAGCACATATTTGATGCTGCCAGGCCTCACATTTATCACACTGTACCCACTGCAAAAATTGTTGAACGCAATTAAAAAAACTAAGAAAACCTACAGAGTGAGAGGCACATAAGTATACAAATTTACCGTGTGGACAGTCTTACCCATTCTTCAGTCTCTTCATTGTTTTGCTTTTTCTCGAGTCTTGCTTTCGGCATTGAAGTCCCTTCAGCGAGTATAGTGTCTCCTCGGGATCCATTATAACAGGGAATACAAAAGTAATGCCGATGTTCCCTAGCTACAACGGTATAGAACAACGCATTTCTTTTGATGCGAGCACCACAAGGAGTACAATAGATAGGTGGTGGCTCGAATGTAAGCCTCTCCACCCCACATAACTGGCAGGAATTATCACTCATCGAATTCTCCATGCCTTTATTCTGTAGATAAATAGAAATTATATGACAGTTTTTCATCTGCGAGCACATACTTTCAGAAATGTGGAGAGAACTGTTTAACGGAACCTCTCAGTTGCTCCTCTAGAAATTCATATTGAACAAACAACAACAGTATAACCAGTGCAACGAAGAGTAAACAAAGATAAATCTACGAATAAAACTTGCTTTTCTGTAAACTTTCGAAGTCAGTAAAATTGCGCACCTGCTCAATCCACTGACGAAGACCACGAATATGTTCTCTCACTTGTTCGGGAGTGAAAAATTCAGTCAAAGAAACACCCTTTATCTTTGGGTTTCCAGATTTTGATGCACCAACGTCAGCAGACTCTACCAGAACTTCTTTCTTCGTCTCTTGCTCCATTTTTATGCTTTCTTGCTTTGGCGAGGCATCAGATTGATCATGTTGACCTGGTTCACTGACAGGCGTACGCTTGGGATCATTTTCAAAAGCTTCATGTTTTATCTCTTTGATGCCGAATCCAGCTTGAACAGAAATATCAGAAATATCTTCCTTCACTTCCACGTTTTCCGACTTCAATACCGCATGTGCATCGCTGTGCCCTTGATCCTTTCTTTCAGCATCCTGAGATAATTCTGTTTCTGTTTTGGAAACAGTGGAGCTTTTACAACTTTCAGTCTCAGAGACCACTGGTTGAATAGACGGCTCCACCTTCAACCGTTTTGATGAACCTTGCAAATTATCTAGAGTGTCAGCACAGCCAGGGACACTAGAAACCGCTCCAGCAGTAGCACATACTGAATCATGTGATACTACATCTTTGTTCACCGCGATCGCTGCACTGCTTTCGTTATGTAAACGGGCCTGGAGACGCGCATTAACTTGTTGCTGATGGTAGGTTTTCTTCACTGGTACACAGAGGGCGCACAGACGATCCTTGCAGTTTTTAAAGTGGATAATCAATGACTTTGTGATACGACAACGAGAATACAAACACCGCGGTTTTACACAACTGTCCATGTGACTCCATAGTTTCTGAACAGTAACGCAATTTCGCTCTTGGCACTTCCCTTCTGGCGGTTTGCAGTCCCGTGCATGAAGTAGAATCAAGAGCCAATTCCGTTGACGTGTAACAGAATTATGCAGACTATGGGATTCGGATATGGTCGAAGTATGATTTTGATCAATAACAGACCCTTGGGTCAAATTATTAGGCTGAGCTTCCTCCATTCCAGTAATTCTTCGACGGAAATCCTCCTGAGCCTTCTGTTCACTTGTCATACCATTAGAAATTTGAGTGTTTTCCTGAGACATGGAAGGCCATTGACCCCGTGGATCGGGTTCTGATTTCACTCCAACAGCAAGATTGCTAAAACTGTTGTTAGAATCAGAACCTATATTTTGAGGGCATGACATCTGCTGAGTCTCTCGGATGCCTGATCCAAGGGTATCAGGATTTGTTGTTCTACAACCTTCCCCTGAAATAAGAAATAACATGCTTTAGATATTACTAGTCATTCACAATCGCCAAACCCCAGGAAAGGAACATACATTATACATATGAAATCAGATTATACGAACTACCTGTGTCTACAATTTTTTCGTTCACTCCAATACCATCATCTACAGAGTTAATTGACACACCAGCCGGTTTTGGTTGCATATCAAGTCTACGGCCAGCATTCATTTGGTTTGAAAACATTTGACTATTTTGACCACCAGTATCCTCCCTTTGCTGCTGTTGCTGAGACCAAGGTACCATCGTGGTCTCAGCAGAAAATCCATCACTGTTATTATTAGTACCATTGTAAACGAACCCAGGTGTAGGAATCATCTGAGCAGTACTTCTTTGAGAACCCAGGGATGCCACGTTCCCTCCGGAACCAAGAGAAAAGTTTCTTGATGAATGTTGGTATCCAGTAGAGATATTACCTGCAAAGAAATTCTTAAGGTGTCAGGTTACACATGAGATGAAAAATTCCAGGAAAAGCATCTATGAACATGTTAACGAGAAAAAACCTTCATGCATGCCACCAGTAATTAGAAGGTTTCCAGTGTCCACAGCTGTACTTGTGCTGTTGTTGTTTCCAGCTATTGTAGCATCAGCAGAGGTTGTAACCATCGAACTAGCATTACCCGCTGCGTGTGGTAATCCTGGAGTAGGTATCATCGTTCCAACAGAAGAAGAATTAGCATGACGCTGATTGTAGTTTTTCAAGTATCCGCTTTTTATCAATCCCTTAATCCGAGACTCAAGGGTTGACCGGTTCACGTAATCCTCCTGTAGTAAAAGTGGGAAAATATCACAAACGCAAAGAAATATTTCAAGTAAGAACATGAGTCAATAAGAGGCAGGATGTCAAATCCTAAAACGCTAACTACAACCTTTAGACACAAACAGAATTATTTCTGAGATACCTTTGATTTGGCCATATTATACAGCCCTTCCTCTAAGCGTCTAGCAACCTCCATAAACTTTGGCTTTGACGCAGCATCAACAGGAGATGATTGCCGTTGCTGTACAATGTTAAAGCTGTAACATCAAGAAGGTTCAGTTAACAAGATCCTCCACGTGTAGTAAAACATCAAGAAACACTAAAAAAAAATATCAGGTCACAAGCAACAAAGAAGATATAAAGTAATCAGTTTCGATCATTCACAGCACAGATTGAGACTTACACAAAGTTTTGCATATAGTGTCGGAGTTTCAATTTATCAGGGTCCATAGGACCAAAACGATGTTACGTTAGGCCCTCCACCAGTATCACCACCAGATGAAGCAACAACTCAATTCTGCATTTGCGAGTTTCACATTAGTCTACAGTTAAATTAGAATGATAAGACTAGAGATGATCAAAGCATTTCAAAAAAAAAAAAAAAAAATGGATGAAGGTAACAAGAAAGCAACCAATCAAACAAGATACATTAACCACAAATATAATGTAACCAAATCAAAACTCTCGAAAGGTCACGGAAACAAAAAGAGGTTACTAGTGATTACAATGATGATCGAGAGAGTACGAAACGCAGTAGAACAGGGAAAATAAAGTCGGTGATGATCGAATGTCGCACTCGCACGTGTGAGGCACACACTCACACAAGTCAGGAAGACAAAATTAGGATCAAAACGAGCAAGTGGAGGGGGAATCCAAAACCCTAGAGGGGCGAAACAACAAGAATAACCGAACGATCGACACAATTTTTTTCGAAAGATCGGAGAGGTTTCCGAGGGCGTCGGAGAGTTTCTTCCAAGATTTCTTAGGGCGATTTTGGGGATTTTCTTTTCCTCCTTTTTTTTTTTTTTTCTTTTTGGGGATTTTTTTTTCGTTTTTATTACGTAAAGTAGTAATTACTAATTAGTAAACAAAACGACACATCAACATAAACATTTACCTTACTGGTTGTTGCACAACAACAACAAAAAAACCTTACTGGTTTCTTTTCAAATCTGACTACTTACCAGAGCTTTGTTCACTGTATTACTTTCGATTTTTTAAACCGGCCAGGACACGTATATTAGCTTGTTGCTCAAGGCAGGTCAATGCAGTTTCTATAGTGGCTAATCAATGCGTTTTGTGGATACGACAACTAGGATACAGACACTAAGATTCAATAAAAGTGTTATGTGACACTCCATAGTGCCTGAACAGTAACGCAATTTCGGTCTAGGCATGGCGGATGCATGGAACAGAAACAATAGCCCATCTTTGTTGATTATGGAAGTTGTGACTTACTCTGTTTCGCTTTTCATTCGAATATTTTTACATTTTAGAATATGTTTTTGCTTTTACCGACACTAGACTAGAGAGAGTAACAAGTCTATGGAATCATAACTTCAATTTCCAAAGTGTTTGGTATATGTATGGTCCAACTTAAACCGGACACAAAACCAGCCCCAGTTTTTCACATAAGCTTGGACTTACAAGAAGCAATACATCAGTGTAAAAGCTGAAGCATCTTTTATTCAAACCAAAACATTCACTGAATAAATTAGGCAAAAGACCTTTAAATTTTTCAACGGTAGAGGCTCTCCGACTTCAGATTCTCGGCAATCTCTGTCTCCCATCGATCTCCATTCTCAAGAAGTTTCTCTTTGTCATACAGAAGTTCCTGTAAAGATTTTAAAAAAGAGAGAATCAGCTACACATCTTAACTTTAGGATCATGTCCAAATGATACGTGTGTTTACCTCATGAGTCTCGGTTGCAAACTCAAAGTTGGGTCCTTCGACGATTGCATCAACAGGGCAAGCTTCTTGGCAGAAACCACAGTAGATGCACTTTGTCATGTCTATATCATACCTGTACACCTCCAAACCATCACTACACTATGTGAAATGTTCACAGCCAGAGAGACAAGACAGTATCGAAACGAAAGCATATGGTTAATGAATGGGAACTTGAATGGTGACCTAGTGGTTCTGCGGCTTCCATCTTCTCTCTCCTCTGCCTCTATGGTGATTGCTTGAGCTGGACATACCTGATGAACAGAAAAACCCAGTATCCGTCACAAATCACAAATTTTCAGGTTAAAAAAAATGATGCTATGGTACGAGTAGCATAGACTTTTAAAACTCACAGCTTCACAGAGTTTGCAGGCAATGCAGCGTTCTTCCCCAGTTGGATACCTTCGAAGAGCGTGTTCACCACGGAAGCGAGGGCTCAATGGACCCTTTTCAAAAGGATAATTGATCTGCATACAGGACAAAACTTCAGAATTCACAATATCTTTCTTTCAACCTAGTTACTTAAGTGGACTGTCACTCACTGTAACTTTAGGATCAAAGAAGTACTTGAGGGTCAGCGACAAACCCCGGACCATTTCAGTGAGAAATAGGGTGTTCATGCTCCGCTCAAAGACTGTAAAAGTAAAAACCGTCAATACTCACAGAAAGGAAAAGTAAGAGAAACAGAAAGGTAGAAAAGTGTGTGTGGATCAAATAGCTCACCAGTGCTCCAGTCTTTGGAGATCTCCTTAGCAAGTTGCTCAGCTTCTTCATCATCTGCAAGTTACAGAAGTAAACCATTAGTCTCATCATATATGCCTAAGATTTCATAACTTAACCAATCAATAAAACCCAAACAAGAGCAAGAAATATATATATATATATATATATATATATATATACCTTTATTGGTGCCATATGATATAGCACGTGACTGTAGCCCAAAGAGATTGGATCCCTGCAAAGCTTGCCCTGAACAAACCTATAATCAAAGACAAGGCAGAGACGTTAAGTACAAGAAGAATCCCATATCATACACCCCATCAGAAGAAGCTAAAGAAAGTAAACGTTAACAATTACAAGGCTCTAATTTGAAGGGCATGTATTTTCAGAAACTGACCTATAGAATTATTATCTGAAGATCAATAATATAAACCCCTAAAAAAATTGATATTCAAACTTATGTTTCCACAGAGCTAGACCAAAAGATGCAGAGTAGAAGGAATAGCAACACTAAGGACATAAAATGAAAAAAAAAAGTCAAAAATATTCATACTAGATTTCGAGCACGGAGAGCATTGAGCGACCTGCGAGCTAGAAACGAAGCCATTTGATGGAACTCCAAATATCAAATTTGGATCTTTCTTCTTCGCTCTGTTTGATAAGAGAGACAGAGAATCAGATTAGCTAAAAAGCTTAAAACAATCAAAAGAAGAAGCGAACAAGAGAAAAAGAAAACAATTATCACACCGTAACCTTTGAACACGATGAAACACAAAGAAGTAACCTTTCTGCAGACAAACCCAGAGACAAGTTCGATCTCTCTCACAAGGGCATGGACACAAACAAGACAACAAAACTATATCAGATGTTAATTTACAAATTTACCCTTGTTATTAATTTAGTTAAAACCAGGGAAAATCAACCTTACATCAAACCGGATTTATTTATTTGGTATGACACACACATTCCAAGTTCTCAAGGTGTGGACCAAACCAAGACCATGTTCATACAAAGCTCGGTTTCATAAACAAAACACAAAACTGTTGAACAATTTGGTAATCACATTCGGTTAATGAGTGAACTTTTCAATAGAATCAAACTAATTTAGCAAGCATAACAATGAGAATGTTACATGGAACAAAACTACTAATATGAGAAAAAAAAAACTTCTTTGTAGTTTTCAAGTTAGATAGTTTTGGGTTTCTCTCAGACAACAACATAACTTGATAGTACATAAACCCCCACAGATTCTATTTACAAACAAGGGATCCAAAAAGTGTTCGTTTCAAGCTCCCCCATGTCTCTTTCTTCTTCATCATCAGCACCTTAAAATGTTGTTCATTGTAGGTTCTTTCTTCATCTTCATATCAGGAAGAACTGAACGAGTCAAGAACGCCATTGATCCATTTGTTGTTGATCTTGCTATTTGTAGTTGATGTGGGTATTCCCTCAAGTTGATGTTCTTCGCGACTGTTTCTTGGTTAACTTGAAAGGACTCCAGCTTTTTCTGCGTTGTTTTGATGTCTCACAGAAGAGACCAGAAGCCATAGCTTGTTGAAGCCATAACTCAAACTCTTCTTCATCCTCGTCCATCATCTCCACATCAAGATCCCACGGGAACCTGCTCGAGTTTGATCTCTGCGTTGTCTTTTCCAAACCAACCATGTTCACATGGAAACTTGGTCTATGTGTGTTTGGTCTACATGCCATTCCCTTCAATTGTAACAAAAAACGCTTTCATTGGATTCTTGAGATGCCTTAGACTAGCCAATACTGAACAGAGTTATAAGCATCGGTAAAGAATCTCAGAGCACCAACCTGGCATATAGCCCATTCTGAGACATCAAAGATCTTGCTCTCGGCACAAACAAAAGCTCGTGGTATTTCAATCTACAAGACAAGACAACAGAAAAAGTTAAACAATCATTACCAGTAAATAAAGTAGGAAGAAACAAGTGAAAGCCTAACCTTATGTGCTCTCTCGAATACTAAAGTCCCTTTGTGTTCAACCCATCCGTCACCATCTTTAGCTTGATGATATTGACCACAATCCTAAAATTTTAATGGAAGTATTAACCATTTAACCAAAAAAATATAGATATCATGCAATTCTAAGGAGAAGTGTGAGTGAGTTAGCTAACCTGACACCATCTAGCCTTTGCCTTACTCCTGTTGGTACATACCCAAATGTGTGAATTACCGCACTTAGTACAATGTATGCGCCTTGACTCTTCTGATCGATAATCTGGACCATTCTGAGAAAAAAAAAAAAAACAGAAAATCTGTTCATCACCTTTTATAATAATAACACATAACGCATCAGAAATCTCACAACAGACTGTATCAACAAACCTGATGCGAAGAAGCATGTGATGTCTGACAGACAACTCTGGTCCTAGATTCTTCTTTCCTTAACTGATCATCATAATCTCTCCTCTTAACAGCATCAGAGAGAACCTGCAAAATGCATCATATCATGTCTAGATATTCATAACAGAAAGAAAATAGAGTCTTTTCATTCAAAAAAAAGAAAAGAAAATAGCGTCTAACTACAGCATCTAAACTAAATACCTCATAAGCACATTGAAGTTTCTTGAATGATTCACTTGCCAAAGGACTTCCCCTATTCTTATCCGGATGAACCAGCATTGCCTAAGAACAAAGAAACTACTAAGTTAACCAGTAGAGAAAACTCATAGCCAAGAGAACATACAAAGTCAGTTTCAAACAACAGACCTTCTTTCTGTACTCTTTCTTAAGCACCGCAGCATCAATCTTGTTATGCCGAGGGAACCCCAAAGCTTCATAGTGATTCAAACTATCCAGTATTCTTTTCATCTCATCAGCTGAATCTGTTTCTACATTTACTACTTTAACACTAGAAACCTCCTTCAAGTTACTAACGACAGTTGCCGGAGATGCTGGCTTATTGGCTGACTTATTCTCGTGAACCTTTTTCTCTGGCTCTTCAACAGGAGGAGCAGAAGGGTACTCAAACTCTCCAGGAAACTCTTCCTCTAGTACAGTTTCAGGTTTCTTTGGCTCCTCCGGTTGTGTTTTTTCACTAACAGTATCACACCACTGAAGAAGACGAATAAATACATCGTTGGACAAGAATGCAAGATTCATTGAGAGGATAACTCCAGGCCATCCAAGTCTGACATTGACAGAGTAAATTGCATAAACAGTCGCCATAAGAACCACCACTCGTGCGTGATTCAAGGAGAACAAATAACCTGATTAACAATAAGATAGAGACATATAGAGCAATAAGAAAACTATAGTCACAGATTTGGGAAAAGAGGTATTGACACTTGCCTGCAACTATAAATAATGTTCCGGTGATCCAAAAGTTAGCGTACATCCACATTATTAAAATCCCAAATAGTCCTACAATGAAGATCCCCGGAGTGCAACCTAAGTACACGACAACAGCACCAGCAGCTCCCTGCAAAAACAACGGGTGAGACTCACAACTTGATTAAGAACGGAGGGGTCTAGAAGAAGGCCTTACCAAACCGAGGAGAACATAGACCAAGCAAGAAACTGAAGTCAGGCTAAGAAAGCAACTCCACATGATCAAGAGCAAAGCAGCTGAGCCAAACTTGGCACTGGACTGGAAACCCCTCAAAATGCAGTCTTTCCAGTAAACAAAAGACAAACTAAGAAACCCTAAAAGCTTCTCACAACCACTGCACACTAGTGGCCAGTGACGCTCCACGAAAGCTTCTGTCTTTCCCCCATAACATTGCATTGCAGCACAAACCCACGAGCAGAGATGTTTCTGAGACTGCAACCACGTCAAACCTTGCTTAACCAATCCTATATCCTCCATTACTAGATAAAGATTCTCAAACCCTAAAACCCAAACCCTACAGCTCAGATTAATTGATAGCCCTAAAATGAACAATTCTGGAGAGCCTGTAAACTCAAGTAAACGAGCTTATTGGACATTGCTTTTTGATCTGATATTTAAATCATTAAGACATTACAAGAGGTTCTGCAGCTAATTTAATTGCCTTCACCTCTTCCTAAAACACAAAACCCTAACTTTCTCCGACAACAAGCCGCATATCCTCAAACTGGATCCGAAAAGACCTAACTAATCGTAGTATCTCCCAGTGGAACAAAACGCAGAAGAAAAAAAATTTCGTTAGAGCATCACCGCGCACCGACAAGCACTTCTGAGGTTTCGGTGCGTAGAGTACAGAAGAGAGAGTGAAGAGAAAGGAAAGAGAAGAGCTTTAATTAAAGTAAAGGGGTTTCAAGTGTAAAGATAAGCTCGGGAAGTAGGAAACCACAAAAAGAGCTCATGAAAACAACAATAAAGGTAGAAACTTTTAAAAGATTCAAAAAAGTTCTCCGAAGAGAGAGAGAAGAGGACACAGTGTAGCGTATAGAGACAGAGATTAGAGACGAAGGAACCATTAAAATACTTTACCTTTATACTGTTCTTTACTTCTTATCGTTTTGGACTTGGATTAAGTGAACATTAAATTCGTGGGTCCCGCAGCCCAACTGAACCGTACTGTTTAGACCAGACAGGGGATGATGGTGATCAATCGGGAAAGATTTGGTTTTAACTCTCGGTTAAATTCAAGATGACTGAAACTTACTTAACACACACATAATAGGCATGAGATTTTGAACCGAACTGAACTCACCAAACCAAACCAAAAACATGGTTAGTTCGGTTAGAAACTCGGTTCAATTTGGTAACTTTTTTTTCAAAAATCGGTTCTCAATTCGGTTTGACAATAGGTAACTTCGGTTTTCATTTTTAACAGAAAAAATTATACTTTAAGATACCATAAACCTGAACCAAACTAACAAAACTAACTGAAGTTTTAACTAAAGTAACCTAAATATTAACAAATATAAACCAAAATGTAACAAAAATCAAAAACTTCGGTAGATTTAGTTGAACCGAATGCTATATAGGATTAATTTGGTAAATTTTATGTTGAACCGAACTAACCAAAAATCAAATCACTCGAACCGAAGATCCCAAACTAGTAAGCCTACACACACATCATACCTCAATTAACGACCGATTTTATTACCTTACTAGGTAAAGACCTGCACTTTAAACAGAACAAAATTGTTAAAATATATTTTATTATTCAAAATCGTTAAGAAAATATTTTACTATATATCTTTGTTCATAATTCTATCGGACATCATATAGAAATTCTATAAAATGTTATGTTTAAGTAAGTTTTGAATTGTAAAAAGAGAAGGACTAATACTTGCTGGCACCAATAATTATAAACTTCTAAAAGTAATGTGATAAGAGATGAATAAATATCGAAAAAATTACATAGAGAGTCACTTTTTGTCTTCTTAATTACAACTACAGCCACATCTCACTTGAGAGGCACATTCTTAGTATTGTTTGTCTATTTTACCCTTCTTTCAACTCAAAAATTACTTTCTCTCGTTTCTCTTGTCCCAAACATTATATTTCTCTCTTTTTCTCTAAATTGAATCAAGAACACCAACCCTAATTGGCATCAATCAAAACGCATCAACCCAACCTCTTAACAAACCTTCGTCTCTCCTATTCTTTTTGTCTTTATCATTCTCATGATTCTCTCCAAAATACCTCTTTTCTAATTTATTTTCATATCACCAAAGGATTACAGCAATTGAAAAAGATGAGACAAAACCCCAAAAAGAAATTCCATCAAGAACAAAGCTTTTTGTAATGGAGATTTGAAGAAGAAGAGATTGAAAGATTGAGAGAATAATGGTGGAGGGTTGGTGAAATGGGTTTCGAGAGGCGACGTATTTGAAGCCTCTGGTCGTGACCATCTACGCGACGGCGTTCTCGTCTCCTCCCACTACTTACTCTCTCATCAATGGCTCCACGCCACCTCCTAGCTCTCTTCTCCTCCCTTTCCAATAACCCCCCCCCCCTCTCTCTCTCTCTCTCCCTTCTCTTTCCATCTATGTTTTTTACTGTTGTGAAAATTGGTTAATTTGCTTCAAAGTTTGGATTTTTTTTGTTGTTATGAGCTTCGGTATTGTGTTGGTTTTGTAACCGAATTGATGTCTGAACTTTTCTGAAGGTTAGGTTTTGTAATCGAATGGATTTCATATTGATTTTGGTTAAACACTTGATTAATTTATGATAGTGTATCCACGAGTAACCCATCCACAAGTTCTATGTACGATGTGTTCAATATCATTCATACAAGATGTAGTGTATCCACGAGTAAACAATATCATTCATACAAGATGTAGATGTGTTCACCACATCAAATTCCCATTCTCTTAAGGAAACCTTCATTTTTATCTTGTGGACAAGGTGGCATCCACGTCCACAACATAACCAAACTTTTGTTTAAAAGCAAAATATTATTTTTAAACCACTTCGAAACAAATAAAAAATATTTACATGCTATTCACAATTTAAGAAATCCACAAATCTCAGAAAGTTTCTTTTTTATATGTGGACACGTTGATATTTATTATTTACTACTAAAAAAATAATAAATTTAAACCACTTTGGAAAAGAAAACGGTTGTCTAAAAATTAAAGTCTATGACTAAATAAACTAAACAAACCACCAAAGACTTACATCTAAGAATTAAACTAAAAACATAAACTTTTCGGTAGAATAAAGGGCATTTTCGTCCAATAAATGCATCAGTACAACAAAATGTGTCTTGCAAGTAAGAAGTGGCCCTAGATGTAAAAGAAAGATAAAAAGTGGCCCATATGGTAATGGACTCATAAATATCTGAATAAGCTGTAATATTTCTAAATGTGACTTCTAAAACTCACTGACCTCTTTCATTACTTTATTCAGATACTTTTTTCTTATGACCAATTTAGATTCAAACTTATATACATACACTCAAATCTTTGTTTACAACTGAAGACAACCTTAACAAGAGTGGGGCAGAAAACCCTCCTTCTCTTACAGTAGCTATCGATTCAAAATCTAAACAGAAAACCTCTGGTACAAATCCAAGAACTCAGAAGATGATGAGACAAAGAAACATCAAACACCTTTTTTTTTCTAAATGGTACTGCTGAATGAAGAAACCGCAGCAGCTGATGAAGCCCCTGATGAGAAAGCATTTGAGTTATCTCTAGTCCCTGAGCTAGACGAGGCATCATAAGAAGAAGGGTTTGTGTAGTTCTGTTTGTTCACTTCATCTGGCTTTGTTTCCACGGGTCCTCTCACTTTCAAGTCCATAAAATCAGAAATCAAACCAGGCCTGGTTATTTTCCTTGTGTCTATATCCTTCTCCCCTGTCAACAACTTCACCACTGTGGACATGTTTGGTCTTAGCTTAGGACTGTCTTGCGTGCACAAAAGACCGATTTTTAGGTACCGGCAAGCTTCCTCTGCGTCAAAGAGTCCGTTTAGCCCTGTGTCAACCAGATCCACTAGCTCATTGCGCTCATAAAGCTCCCAAGCCTGTGGAATGTAAAGAAAAGGTTATCATCCCTCAAAAGAAAAAGCTTAAACATCTCGAACTAGACCAGATTAAGACTTACTCTTTCTAGGAGATATTGATATTCAGTGGGTAACCGAGTGTTTTTGTTGCTTCTTGCACTGACTATCTCCATCAGAAGGACTCCAAAGCTGTATATATCTGCTTTACGAGTCAACTGTCCCCTAACAGCATACTCTGGCGCTAAATAACCACTGCACAAAACATATGTTTAGACCTGAAGTTTTTCAGCTAGAGTAAGATAAGAAGGGAAACATAAAACATGTGGAAACTCACATTGTACCAGCGACACGAGTGCTGACATGAGTCATGTTGGGTGGCATAAGCCTTGCAAGTCCAAAATCAGAGATCTTGGGGGATAAATTTCTGTCAAGTAGAATGTTACTTGCCTTGATATCTCTATGAATAATGTGAGGCCTTACTTCTTCGTGGAGAAAGGCAAGTCCTTTAGCAACCCCAATGCAAATATTGGCTCGAGTTCTCCAATCAAACTGTATCCCACTCTGAGTGTAGCCCCCAGCTGAAAAACATTCATTCAGTTAGAAAATAACATCACAAACCTGGAGAAGCTGACACATAGAGAGTAAACAAACTACCTAGAAGGGTCTTATCAAGACTATTGTTCTCGAGAAAATTGTAGACAAGAATCCTGTGATTCCCCTCCACACAGCATCCATAAAGCTTAACCAAATTCTCATGCTGTATCTCTGATATAACATTGATCTCAGTCAAAAACTCTTTAACACCTTGTCTTGACTCAGCCGAAAGGACTTTGATTGCTGCAATCTTTCCATCTTTAAGATGGCCCTAAAGTCATCAAAAAGTTTTCACACCCAAAGAGTTAAGAAAAGATGAATAGAGAATTTGAAAAAGAAGAGTGTAAAACAACTGAGTTTAACTTTTTCTCATTTACCTTGTACACAGACCCAAAACCCCCTTCTCCAATTTTATTATGGGGATTGAAATCATCTGTAGCCAGACGAATCTCTTTGTATTTGTAAATCTTTACGTTTTGTATTGATGCGATTCCTGTTTGCAAATACAAACACACTAAAATTAGAGGAAACCAGCAACATGACTATGAAGAGAACTAGTAATTATCCTCTTGGTTTTAAGAAGCCTAGATCGTGTGTATATGTACCATCATCATCAACTTCAGAAGGTCCTCCTTTATTTCGTGAGAACCAGGAGCAACCCATCAATGTAAAGACAGACCTATGAACTGTTTCTGCAATTACCAAAAAAAACGAGACACAATTAAGAGATTTGACTTTAAACTAGTAAACTAGACATAGATCGGTTTCAAATTACTACTCAATTCCTCAATAAGAATCTCTCTCCAAAACAAAAACATCCTAAGTGGGGGGACCATAAACCTCAAAAGTTAAAAGCTGTCAACTTTGAATTTGGGTTTTTCTCAAAACATAGAAACATATACAAATAAAACGAAACTCAAGACAGGAGAGAGAAAAACCCACCTCAGAGAGAGAGAGGGAGAGAGATTCAGACAGAACTTGTTAACTTGGCAAGAGTTGGTTATAAAAAGGCTGTGTCTTTACGCGATCAGAGTCGCTGTCTCTCTTTTGCCGCGTGTGTAGATATCAGATCAGATTATGGAATGAATAAGGAAGACGACGGTCTTGGGTCTTTGTAAGGTGGCTGGTAAAAGTCAATGAGTAGATCAAGCACACGTCAGTAATCTTCTTCTTGTACGTTGCTCCGAGATGACCAAGCAACGCTACCGTCTCTTTTATTTTTTTCTACTTTCTTTTATTTCATGTTTTAAATGTCTCTCTGTTATGATTAACGACTTCTTTTAAAACTTTGATTAACGGCTTTTAATAATCGTTTAATTATTTGACTATTCTGTATTCGTTTTAACTTTTTGCTTCATTCATGCGCATAATTCATCATTGTCCTTTGAATTAAATCTTTTGCTTTTTTGAAGTCTAGTCCATTAAAGATGAACCAATTATTTGCCTTCTTGTTTATAATATTCAAATGAATGCTTTTTCTTTGTCCAAAAAAAAAAAAAAATGAATGCTTTTTCAACATATATCCTAAGAAAATCTAAACATATTTTGTCAAAAAAATCCTTCATGATATTCCTTTTGTACTGCGTTATTCAGATATTTGAATATAGATTCCTAACAGCTATTCACACACACAAAATGTATATGCTGTAATAATGAATAATATAATTAGAATATACAATCTTTAAAATAACCATAAAAATCTATTGACTAGGATTTATATAGCTGTTTAGTTTTGTACTAGTTTCATTCTGTCACCAGACTCACTACCTGTTTATAATAGAAACCAATGAAGTTTTAGATTTTAAATTGATGAGTCCAGTTTTTATTATTACAAGTTGTAATGTGAATGTGTATATAACAAATAAAAAACGGAGTTGCTAACTAAGAATGGCGAATTTGAATGGACGAGTCAAAGTAATAATATTAAACATATAGACTTATGTGATATGATGGAATGCATAAACAATGATTAAGAAGAAACAAAACAGGACTTTTGAAAGCAATTACGGTCGAAATGTCAAAGAAAACCTTCTCACAATTCCTAGTTTGTTTCTTGTACATCACGAACAACAAGGAAGAAATGGAATTGTGTTCACACGTCGGAGAAAAAAAGCAGAGTCCTAGACACTTCAGGTGAATTCTCTTCACTGCTCAAATGACCTTTGATCATTGCATAAAACTTGACGTTAGTCAATTCCAACAGAAACACATTTCAGACGTCACCGTAAGATCAGAAGAGAGTTTTGAAGCTCTAGGGTCAAAGTCTTTTAGCAATGATGGCGAGATTCCTAGGTGAGATGGTTGGATCAAAGATGGGAAGCATTGTAACTTCAATGGAGTCTCCTTGTTCTTGGAGAAACATAAGTCTATCAAGCAAGATCAATGTCTCAAGCACCGGTCCTAGTGCAGCTCTAATAGACCAGTAAGGTCCAATCAGTTCCTACATATTTAAGACAAGTATCACATCAAATGCATGAGAGAATTTGAGAAAAGAGAGAGTTGAGGAATAGCAGGTTACCGTGTATGTATCAGCTTCCTTCCATGTGACACTCAAATCGAGATCTTGAGGATGTTCTAGATTCAGGCGGGAGAATGCTGACAAGCAAAACTTCTCAAAAGAAGAATTGGAACTCGTATGCGTCATGGATTTCTTGTCATCTGTGTCTGCAGTGAGTTATAGAGTATAAGCAAACCAATCTTGGTCACACCTAATAACAGATTCGAATCCATCCAAAAATCCTAACCTTTTCTACTTGTATCTACTTTTGCTGGAGTTTCAAGAGCTTTTCTTTGCTTCTGACGACGGAAAGCCTTCCCTTGGCGCCCAATAGTGGGACTTGTCGCTAAAACCTCTGGATAATGCTTCGAAAGAACCTTCAAAGATGTGAATAGGTTGTTACTTGTTAGAGACAACAGCTGAAAGTTGATTCATTCAACAGAACCAAACTTATATATTACCATTTGAAAAGCAGCACGAAAAGAATGCAACTCGAAATTCTGCAGACCAGCATCTTCTCCCAAGCTACTCCATCTCTCAGCACTCTGAGAAACCACATGAAACCTTTAATAAATAGATTACAGAGACAAACATGCAAAACAGATACAATAAGGGGCAATACCTGACAAGCTAGATCACGAGCATTTTTGCCAAGCGAAAATCCCAAAGATTTGAGACCAGAGCTCATCGGAAAACCACATCTGGAACAAGAATTCTCTCTTGTGTTTTCAGATAGTAAGTTGTAACAGCAGCCAATGCTCACTACTGCTTTAACTTCTTCACACTCCATAAAAGTCCTGATGAAATAAAGTTGCAGATTCTTTCAGCTGTTAGGGTCTAACAGAAATCCAGATGAAACAACTACAGTCTGAAGCAAGCATAAAAACTAACCTTAGCATTGTAACGGATAGATCTCCACATGCATGGAGGCCAGCAAGCACAAGTGAACACTGTCTGTTTGAACCTTCATTCAATGCAGCTGCATCTAAATCCAAGTCATTTTCCTCCAGAGGAAGATTGGTCAGGGATTTTAACATCTCTGTGGATAATACACGGCATGTAATCGTCACTGGAGCATCTGGGCACTTGTTTCCTGAACTAACAGAGAAGAGGTTAAGTTTAAAAGACAAGTGTTGTGCAGCAAGAATAAGGAAAACAATGAGGTACTGGTCAACTGGACTTACCCAGATTTACGCATTTGAGAAGCAAAATGTTTTCTTATACGTGCTGCTCGTGCATCAGTTACCTTTCCATGATGAGAGGATGAATCAATCGCAACAACAGAGTGCTTATACTGGAAAGAAAGAACCTGCGCTAGATAACCCTGAAACAATAGTTTGAAAAGTGACACATATGTTACCTTCTGTCAATGATGTTGTTTAACGCATTTTTGGAGAACTATATACTACAGAGTTAGCAACCAAAGGGAGAAGTTAGCAACGCAGATAAGAAAAGCAGTCAAAAAACATGCTAACTAAATTGCTTATACGTATAAGTGCATAAACAATATCGAGTCAACTGAGAAATATGCAAAATCGTGCAATTGTGACTGATAGGTAAATGTGAGAAAGGGAAGATACCTGGCCAGAACCGACATCAACAACAGTAGATTCTCCCACACTGTTAACAACTGAGCTCACAACAGAAGAAAGAACTTCAACCTGCATGATAACACCAATACTTATAGATCCATGTGGCAAGGAGAAGGTCATGAAAATACCTTTACCAGATAAACGATTTAACTAAAACATTGGTGTTACACCAAGTCACCAAGAAATTAATATAAATGTCTGGAGCTTTTAGTGATTATGAAAACTTAGATACTTCTCTATTTAACATGTGATGTAGCAAAGGGTTCTACTTGAACAGCTACAAACCAATACAATAATGGTTGCAAGACACTGTACCTCATGTTTTTTCTTCAGATTCATACCCTGTGAAAGAACGGTGCTAAGAGGAGCCACATTCACATCTGCGAGTATCTGCCAACAGTGGAAAATGATTTAATATATTCAATCTAGAATCTATAATACCAAACTGATGCAACACAAGAGGAGGTAGAGAAACATTCCACAATTCAATGTTCATACACTCCCAAAGGAACCAAACATGGAAAAAATGATAGGGAGTTCTACCGCCTGTAAATCAGCTTGCTCTCTAGGAAACGATAGAGACCTTAGCGTGTAAACAAACTCCTTGAGTGAAGCAGGCCAGTGATCCTATCACACAGACGCGCATATCAATCAATACTTTTCAGCTAAAACTAAACTAAAACCGTTTTTATTAATCAAGTTCTAAACTTTACCTGGACAATACCGGAGGGAATAAGAAGAATATTCTCCGGCTTCTCATTCCTCAAGCAGCTCATCCATTCCTCGTCAACCTCTTCCCATTGCTTATCCTGAATAATAAACAACACGACAGTGAACTCATAAAGATCATAACCCATCAAAAAGACGAACTTTTTAGATTGTTTCCACCAAAAAGAACGAAAATTTGGAAATACCTTGAAGAAATTGACGACGTGTGCATTGATCAGGAAAGAGAAGGGTTTAAGGAAGTCAATAATGGCAGTGATCCATTCTAGTGTTTCAGATCTCGTGTTGCAAGTATACTTGCCGCTCTTCATGTTTTCCGACGACACAAGTATGAAAAGATTGCTCTTTCCGCCGCCAAACGCCGGGCAAAGTAACAAAAGAATAACACTTGCGTAGTAGCCGTCGAAAACGTTTTTCTTAAACGCCCCTTAACTTTTTTAAATTTGTTCAAATTTGTGTTTAACATTTATTTTCCTAACAAATATATCCACCCTATGGTCCCTATCAGTTGACTAGTCTTGGCCATTTTATCCGAAACCTGAAAACTGAATCGGAACCGAAATGAAAAAATATACCAAAAGCGGACCGAAAATTTACAAAAAAAACGAACGGTTCCTATTTTTATAAACCCGAAAAACTGAAACCGAACTGGGACCGAACCGAAAACAGAACATATACCCAAATATTTATATATAATAAAAAATATTGATTATTTTTATTTTTAATATATGTAAAATGTAATTTTTACATAAAATGTATCTAAAAATCCGAATTACCCGAATATTTTTCTGGGTTTACCTCGATTTTTCGCTTCTCTTTTTTGTTTTCGAGCTTTAAACCCAAACTAAACCCGAAATATTTCTAATTCGATTCCATTTTGAGTTTTTTAGAAAAAAATAGAAACCTGACCGAACCTAAAACGATCCGATTCAAAAAATTCCCGGTCCTAAACACTCGAACCGAATAATTCGGAAAACGAATAATCCGCGAACCGAAAATCGAATAGCCAGCACTACACTTGACAAAAGCTATAACCTTCTTTCTCGGTTGCAACATACAATACTACCATACATCTATCCATCCTCTGTTAACTTAACACTCTCTTGTGGTATACAAATATCATAAGAATAGTAAACAACACAAAAGTTTTTTAGTCGATGTTTAAAACCGTTTTAAACATGGATAAAAGGGTGTTCATTAGATTAAACATCTTGTTACATAGACTCAAGTAAATAAACTAACTTAAAAAGCAGCATTTGCTTCCCCCCTACGTGGATGATACATACACACATTTCAGTAACTGTTGTTCTCCTCTTCATCTTCGTCTTCACCAGTTGCATAGTCACTAACATCTATTACAACTTGAGGAAAAACTCTAAACTCGCTAACACTGCCATGACCAAATATGATAACATGAAAGGTCCTGTTGCAGTCATAGATGAAGTTCATCATCTTCCCGTCTTCAAGCTCGTTATCTTTTACAAAATTTTCCCAACCAACAGTTAGAAACAATGTCTCTCCTCTTCTCTTCATCCTAATCGTCCAAGATCTCCCACAATAGTCTAGGAGGTCTACAGTATTTGGCAATGTATCTGGAAAGTGTTCGTTGAAGCCCAACGGAATCGCCTAAAAGAATATTGTAACATACAAATCAACCTCTCAGAAAGACAATAATAGAAGCAACGCATACCACAAGAGACTCTAGTTCAAAAAACAGCTAAGGCAGTCTAATCACTTTTTTTCTTCTTCATTTCTTGCAAGCTTCATTGAATAAAAATCCACTTAGATATACACTTAAAAATCCACCAGAGTAGATAAAGTTAAGAATCATGTTATATAAAAACAAAGCAAGCCACCAAACAACGGATCTGAGACATATTACTGTCTTTTTGGGCTATTTGAAGCTACAAAAGAAACAAATTTAAGGACTTTTAATTTCTTTTCTCAAAAACAGTTTACTTTAAAAACTCACAAGTCTCTAAAATAAAAAAATATATATATAGGAAATGATCTTTTAAGCAAGCAAAAGAAGAAAGATAAGAGAGAATTACCAATGATTCAGCTGACTTATGTGAGATGAAAGGCATTAAAAAACGTTGGTCCTCATCCGTGGCAGCCATCAGAAATAGTGAACTGAGAATTTAGTGTAGCTACGATCGAAACTAGAGCTTGAAGAGAGAGTAAAGAGAGACACTTGAAATCCGTGTGTACAGTAACAGAGAGAGAGCTCACTCTCCTTGGAATTTTTTTGTCGTTTTTCTGAGTTTAGGAGATGATGTTGTCTTCCGTGAAACGAGCCCAAACAAAATAAATGAACTCTTAATAGTGCTATTGGGCCGAAGGATAGCAGCCCAGTAGCCTTATTCCAAACCATACAGATTAACGACAGCGTTTCGTCTTGAAGCTAATAGAACTCAAAGCCCTAAAGTTTTCTGCTATATAAGTCTTAACTCATTTTTCATCCAACGCAGCTTTCAGCAGAATTGCAATCGTTTTCGATTTTTGTTGTTAAAGTTTTGAAATTTTCAAAAGATTTGTGTTTGTTCTTTATGTTTGAGACACTATCTCCCATTTTTTCAATGATATTTTGGGTTTTGTGTTTTTCTAAAAGAAATTTATAAGAGGGAGGGAGCGATGATAATGATGATGATGATGTTACCATAGAACAATCCAACTCTGACATCTTCTGATGAATTTTACATCATGCACTACCATCTGAATCTCGCTCTCCCTTTATTATTCTTTTTAAATCGTTAAGGCTTTTGTTCGTTCGAAAAGATCTTTGGCCAGTTACAAGTTTCATTCGATTTAGTAAGAAGTACATTTTGTGATTATTGCAGATTAAAAGTTGACATTTGTCATCGAGGAAATACCATGATATATGATTTTGATGTAAATGTGGCCTAAAAGATTATAACAGTAAGATTTGATGATAAATATACCCTAGAAAGCCAACCAAGAGTCTGAAGATACATTATGATTTTGATGATAAAATTGACCTAAAGGTTATTACATTAAGATTTGATAACAAATATACCAACCATAATTTTGATAATAAATTTGACCTAAAGATTATTACAGCAAGATTTGATAACAAATATACCAACCAGAAGAAGCTTGCAAGGACAAGACATAGATCATGAGTAATTGGAATTTGGCATATGTTTATCAGGACAGACATTTAGCATCCTCTACCCAAAATTTGTCTATCTGTCCCATCCGAACCTAGCTCAACTCATCCCATCTTTTTTTTTATAACAACTCATCCCATCTTCATTCAATAAGATTTCTTTAAAAAAAAATATTGAGAAAAAAAATAAAAAATAAGATGATTTTAATCCCAGCTTAATTAATACTATCCATTATTGTTAGATACTGTTAGATATATTATTATTTTTTATTTATTTTGTTTATGATATTGTTAGATATATTATTGAACCACAAAATACACAAACTTCATGCGAGATTTTCATATTACTAATTTGTAATGTTAACAAAATTACAAGTATTGCGAAACTTTTAATTTTTCGAAATACAAGTTATTTTTCGAATTCGAAGGTATATGAATTAAGCTCGGCCCTTTTGATTTACTTAAGCTAAAGGTCCATTAAGTACAAAGACTTTCGAATCAGTGGACGGGCCCAACGGCTCCGTTTATGCTTTTCTCTATTTCTTTTTTAAAGGGTTGCTAACGGCTCTCTCCTTTTATTTCGTAAGTGAAAGCCTTAACGGCTAGTTTACCTGAAAACTTTCTGATGGTATATGGATCATACGTGTCTTCATCATAACCGTCCAAAAAAGGAATCGAATATTCTTTTATATGACCCCAAGCTTTTGAGAAACATCAATTCCTTCCCAAATGTTTATATATTATCCATAAACTCCAATTTAAACAAAAACTCAAGATAAAAAAAAACTTTTTTTTTTCTCAAGGAAGCAAACGAATTAAAAAGAACTTATTTGCCAAATAGCTAGGAAAAAAAAGAAAATTAGTTTTTTAGGTAAGAGAGTAGAGAGAGATAGGAAGAAAGAAAGGGAGAGAGAGTGTGATTTTGGCTATTTAGCCAATTATGGATTTTTGTGTGGCTATAGGATCGAATTTCCCAAAAAAAAAAAAATGCTGTATTCAAATTTTCTTCTACACAGGATAGTAAAATAGTGAACCACAAACCATATAAGAATTTAAAGTTCATGGGAGATAATTGAAACTTTTGGAAAACTAAGGGGGTTCAATTTACAAATATAAAAACCATTTCGCAGAGTAACTTGACATTTTCTATACAGTAGTTGGTACTTTAGTGTAATAACCATAAATAAATAAATACTCCAAACGTGCAACTAGCCGTTACGATCCATCTCTCTCACTCGCTTTAAAATTCAAAAACTGTGTAATCTTTTTAAGCATTCAAACCCAATCTTTCAGATTCTTGAAATCTTCTTTTTCCTTTAACAGTCAAAAGAACTGAGATCTCTTACATAACTCATTCCTCAGCGATTTTCAATCATGGACTCTTCTCCTCCGATCCCTTCCCGTCCAAACGCTAAACCAAGAAACTCCGAGACCGGAGATCCGATGCGCCGAAGCTTCCGATCCAGCCCGTTCCCTGGGAAAACCCAAACCGGACGCGTCGAGAGTGGAGATAAAGAGAATCAGATCTCAGATGTGGTGGTCAAAGCTCCAAAGATTGCCAAGAACTTCATGTCCCCGACGATCTCAGCCGTTTCTAAGATCAATCATCCATCTCCGAGGAAGAAGATCTTGTCTGAAAAAAACGAACTTTCTCGTTCCTTTGACAAAACCCATCATCATAATCCTCAGGTTCGGTCATCTGTCTCGTTCTCTGATGTTGTTAGCTTCATTGGGGAAGAAGATAAGGATAAAGATGAGATTTTTATCGGTGAAAAGAAGAAGCTTGATGAGGATGACGTCACTGTTACTGATATGGATGATTTTAGCCCTCTCCCTGCTTCGGTGGTTCCGTTTACGTTCCCTGTGTTTGAGGCTAATGAAGTTGATGCGTCGGTGACGCCTTATGATCCGAAGAAGAATTATTTGTCGCCGAGGCCTCAGTTTCTTCATTATAGGCCGAACCCAAGAGTCGAGTGCAAGGAGCTTTTTAGCTCTGAAAGCTCTTCTACTGATACTGATTTGTCTGGTGAGGAGAGCCAACAAGAGGAGGAAGTTGCTTCTAAGGAGAGTGTAGAGGAAGTGGTAGTGGAAAGCCAACAAGTGGTGGAAGTTGCTTCTCAGGAAAGTGTAGAAGAAGTGGCAGAGGAAAGCAAACAAGTTGAGGAAGTTGCTTCTGAGGAAGGTGTAGTAGCAGTAGAAGAAGAAGAAGCAGAAGTGACCCTAGACGAGAGTGATGAGGAAGTAGTGGTTGGTGAAAGCACTGAAGAAACTCATCAGGTTCCAAAACAATCTCGTTTCAAGATGTCCAAGTTGCTAGGTTGGATTATGGTTCTTGGTGTGGCGTATACGTTGTTGGTGTCTTCAGTGACGTTTACTCATCCCAACATCAATGAAGGTTCACATGTCTACAAGTTTAATATCCCACCGGAAATGACAAAGTCTGCAAGAGAGAGCTTTGAGCAGTTGAGTGAGAAGCTTGGGATGTGGGCAGGATCATCACTTGTTTACATGGACAAGCTGATCTCAAGTCTAAGAGAAGAAGAAGGGTTTGGTACGTTTCAGTTTCATAATTTGACTGGTGTTTTGGAAGAGACGAGGTTGTCTGATGCTGTTTTCCAGCCAACTAGTGGTCAAATCAGTGTTGCTGAGTCGTTGGTTGATAGCCTAGACTGGAGCTCAGAAATGGATACGGAAGAAGAGAATGTTGTCCATGAGAAACCTGAAGAACTGGAGAGCAGTGGTGAAACTGACCTTGGAGCTGTATACGAAGAGGATGGCAATGGATTCGAGCAAGAGAGTGAAGGAGGAGAGGTAAACTCAGAATTTGATAAGCAGGCTGAGATCACGATGGCTATAGATACAGAGGTGAATGTGGGTGAAGTGTATTCAGAATCGCTTTCTCAAGAAGAAGAAGAAAGTGGTGGCCAAGAAACTGATGGTGTTGAAGAGCAGGGAGAATATGAAGAAAGTGACCACAAGAACCTGGAGGAAAGTCATGAACCTGAAACCACATCAGCCCAAAACGATGAGAAGGTGATGGAAGAATCTGAATCCAACTCACACCATGTTGATGCTGAGGAGTCTGCTGCAATCAGTGGTCACCAGCAAGAAGAAGCTAGTTCATTAACCAACGCTGAAAGTGTACCAGAAGAAGGAGGTATTGAGGAAACTGCTGAGACCAGTTTGGATATTTCAGCAGAAACTAGTGAAGTAGATGGTAATGATTTGGAAGAAGAGAGTGGGATTGGTGAAGAAGCTGTAACTAATGCAGAAGATTGGAAGGACATTTTGTTGAATAACCAGAAGAAAGTGATGGTCTTGGTTTCTACTTTGTTGGTTATGCTTGCTGCAGTAGCTGCTTTCTTATTAGCTAACAAGAAGGCAAAACCTGTGATGCAAGAAGATGGTGAGCAAACAACAACTACCCCTGACGCTAAAGTTGTAAACGTTGAGCATGCACCAGTAGAGAATCTGATCAAAGAAAGGCTTTCTTCACTGAACTTCCAAGAGGAGGAAGAGAAAGTTAATGATGACAGGAAAAGAGAAGAGGTATCATCATTCCCTTCTGAGATGAGTTTCAGTTTCCACAAGGACAAGTCATTACGCAGCTGCAGCAACAGAGATGAGCTTAAAGAATATCAAAGCGGAGGAGGAGGAGGTAGGAAGAGTAATGACAGCGGTGAATCCATGGCTTCCTCGGCATCAGAATATTCCATAGGGGGCTCTGTTTCATACGGAAGTTTCACAACATATGAGAAGATACAGAAGAAGAGTGGACGTAAAGAGGAAGAGATGGTAACACCAGTGAGGCGTTCAAGCAGGATCAGGAACCATCAACATTCTGGACAATGAATTAGAGATTAGCTTTAGACTTCATGATGTACTACTACTGATTTGTAGCAAAGCTTTTTCATCTCACTGAAGCTTAGTAGTAGTAGTATGTTGACTTTGTTGTGATCTTTAGCTTTTGGATGTGATGTTTCTTGCTTTAGTATTTGTCTGACATTGTACTTCAACAGTGTGATGAGCCTCTTTTGGCCTAGTTTGAATAATATGTTCGTTTTTTCTTCCTGAAGTTCTCATCACTGGCCTTATATAGGTTAAACCCTAATGGCTTTTGCTGTGATAATACAATAGCTTGGAGTATATCTGATTCTTCATCAATTGTGCCCTTCCATTACCATATTCTACTTAAGAACTCTTTGCTTCTCAGGTTTAAGATTACAACCTTGACTCTGTCTATAAGGAAATGGACAAGAGATTAAGAGAATCAAATTCTCGAACAAGTTGTTCTTTAAACTTGGGTTCACAACAAGAAACATAGCACAAAGTAGAAATAGTAACAGTTTATACAAACACGAAATAAATGGGTCCTAAGTTTCAAGTTTTACGTGAACATGAGAATCATGAAGACAAGTAAGATAACTCATAGCCAGATAAATCACCCCCATTCTTATACCTTTATTTTAACTCGACTTCAATAATGATCATTTTACAAGGCTTGTTTATCAGCCTGCATTTCACCTATTAAGACCATGTTGGTACATTTGATCCCACAGCCCCAAGAACACTTTGCAAGACAATAAGCCACACATTAAAAGACAAAAACAAAAACCAAAGAACTGTAAGATTTTGGTTCAGAGGGAAAAAAAGTTGAAAACGTTGGACCTTCCCAGTCATCTTATATGTAAAACACACCCAAATATAGAACAGTAACTGCCATTTCCTATCTTATATGTAAAACAAGCTTTGGACCTTCCCTGAACATGCCAACTTCTCCTGTTTCTTTCACATCATTAATGTCATCAAGAAAACAAAAGAAAAAGATGAGTACTGGATCAAAGAAACAAGAGCGTTGGCAACTCTTCTCCTCCATGCGGAAGTTTCGTTTTTCATTGATTTATGGCTGTGTCCGTTTTCTGGCTACCAAGCTTCAAGAATTCCACAAGTATTCTCTTTTGCTCATCACTAATGTGTGGGAAACTCGCACGTAGAAGCTCTATTGGCATTTCCCTGACAATGGCTTGTGCAGCAGCTTCAGACATCTCTGTGCCAAAGAACTGCGAATTCAAGTTCTGCATTATACTGTCGTACTTGCTGATGCAATGTTTCATCAGCAAGTTGAAGAACTCATCAAAGGACGCACGCCACAGATTCATGCCTGCATTGTTGTAATTATTAGCACGGAGAAGCTCGGCAGCTCTGTCAAGTGCAGATTTGAGAATAACGGTAGCTTCATCTCCAACGGGACTACCCAAGGGACGAAGTGGTGGCTGCTCAGAAGAACAAGAAACTGCTGCAAGACACGCACTGACGGGTCCAAGATCCATGGTTTGAATGCATAAAGTGACAACTTTCGCAAGTTTGATTGTAATTTCCCTGGTTTCCGTATCTGATGGGCGCGCTCCGAACAAGGACCTTAAGTGTCTGAAAATGGCCATGGAAACTATACGCATTAGATCGCTGCCCGGGATAATAAGCTGGAGGTACCTTGTAAGTAGCTTCCGACCCTTTCGAAGGGAGACAATCCTTAGAAATACGAGATTATCTTGAGATTCAATCCCATCGTTTTGCCCATTCTTACCGAGAGGGTCAACAAGCTGCAGTGACACTGCAAGCCCATCCAACAGAGCTTGGCGCTTTTGCCTCAACTGGTTTCCACCATCTGGGAGTTGATTGAACTTTAAAAACCGGTCAATATCATCTACTTCCAGGAAGAGGGAGAGACCTTCCTCAATAAGCACCCTAGCTGCAAGCATTGGTTCTTGTTCAAGAGGCTTCGCTGTATCCTTATGCTCTAGATTACCAGATTTTTTAGGATCCATTTCAAGCAGAGGACGAGGCCTGCGGAAAGAAGAGAAAGCAACTCGACCAAGAGCATCAGCATGAAGAAACGCATGGGGCTCGTTGTTACGAGATGGAAGGTCTCTAAAATGATTCGGACAGAAATGATGCTTCTGTTTTTCACCCTCAGATTTCTTAGCAAGACGGGCCTGGTGGTAATAATCATCCACATAAGGATCATTGCTAAGCGTTCCTGCAAGCTGAATCTTTAGCATGTTCTCTATTTCATCAGCTGTCATATATTTCGACCGGAAACGAGGCCAAGCATTATCTCTCCTTTGAAGACCACCATCAAAACCTTGTTGATGAAACCGCACGTTTTGTCTGTTCCCCTGACCTGATCCTGGTCTTGCTTCCCTCATATCACCAAAACCAAGCATTGCATCATAACTGCCTGAGGACGCTGATCGAGAAAGGTGAGAATTAAATAACTGAGGCTGCATTCCTGGCAAATGCCCATGAGGCTGCATCGGATGTAGTAAATTATTCTGGGGAACCGGCATCTGAGGCATCCTCTGCTGTGGAGGCATCAAACCGTTTTGATGAGGTAACTGTTGTTGTGGCAACATGTTGTTCATGATCCCAGAAGTATCCTCAGAATACATATTTTGGCGATTCATCCATTGAGCTGGTGGGCGATTATTCACAGGAAGAGAAGGTTGAATCTGAGCCATGTTTCCAGTGAACTGTGGCGACCCATGATGCACGCCACCCAACCGAGGATGAGAACTTGGAAAATGGGAGAGATTTGGGGATCCCATATGAGGCCCACCAGAATGATATTGCGTATTTGGTTGTCCTAAATGCTGATCTGACGATCTGCTACCAGATGACTTTGGCAGAAGAATCGGTTCGCTGGAAAATTGTTGCGGATGCTGGTGTGGCCGCTGGTGATGCTGTGGGTCAGGATATGATATTGCTCTGTGCAGGTTTCTTTGCTCAATAAGATCTGGAGTAGAAAAAGGCTGAGATATCCACCTTTTATCATTGGAGTCCAGTATCTGCTGTCCATACAAATTTGGCAACACCTCCCCACGGTTCCGTCCATCAGCAAAATAATCTGAAAAGAAAGATGAATGACAAAGGAGTGAATCACCGATCCAGTGAACTACAAGAACGAAGAGCATAAATGATGCCCCAACAACCACAACATGAATAAAGAAATAAAATCTGTCGCACCGTAAATCTCAAGATAATACACACTATCACCATAGAGAAACTTAGGATAAACTATGACCCACCAACAGTATGTGATAAGCAAAACTGATGTAATACAAATGGTTCAGTTATTCGTCCTTTGAGTAAAGAGTTTTGAGATAATAATGTTCAGTACACGTAAAAACTCACTTTGTCTTGATCCATTATCGGCTATTGGTATTGCGTTCCTATATCCGTCATGATCCCTATTCAGCTACAACACCAAACAAAAAAACTCGTCAAGCTTCAATGAGAGCTGTTCTGGATCGAGCATAAGCAAAGAAACCCAACGACATGAGAGTAAGACAATTGATCAAAAAGAATAAAGCTAGCTGACCTTAGAAAATGTGCCAGCAAGATCATCAACGTCGGAAAGTTCAGCCTGCAAGTATTGGGGGAGATGAATCCAAGATGTAAAACACCAAAACAAAAAAGCTCCAGTGCACTCTCTTCTAGAAGATTTAAAGATGAGGAATAATAATAACCTCCTTATCAAAGGCAAAATCTTCTCCTATTCCAGCCACAGGCAAATCCTCTTCTTCTTCGTCTTCCAATCCACCAAGCTCAACCTCCTCAACAACATGGTTCCCAAAAAAGGCATACTGAGATGCATCAAATACAGAACTACCACCTGCTACCAAGGAAAATCATCAATCACATGGACGAAACAGAAGCAAAGTTTGATACTTTATTCCACTAAGACTGTCAAAAAGCGTTTTTTAATAGAGTATGCAAGGAACAGATGAAACTACTCTGCAAACCATAGAATGTGGAATCAACTAAACTAGATTGCGATAACTTAATCCAATAGAGCATACTTGAATTTACAGAGAAGCAACAAACCTGTAGAAGTATCTCCAATCTGTTTAAGATCCATGGATGAGGGAAGCTTGTTTGAATTAGTACTTCTCCCACTGCCCCCAAGACCGTTTCTAACTTTACACAGATCCAACACCAACCATGATTAGTCTTAAGCTTCCTTTAAAGGAACAAACTTTGAATCGATTTTTTTTTAAAAACAATCAGAAAACCTAATTAGACCAAAACAAAAACCCTAGGAAGATGCAGCTAAAATCTAAAATTCAAGTTTATCTTAAATCGGTTAATTGTATACTAAGGACTGTACAAATCGGATGACGATCGGATTCCATGGGAAAAATGAAACGCACCGTTCTGGAGGAGGAGGAGGAAAGGCGAATAGATTTAGCTAAGACGATGAGGATGAAGAAGAGCCTCTAGAGATTGCTGATTGAGACGATGGATTGAATGAATGATGATAAATTTGGTTACTTTGACAAAATCGGAACCAAACAATTATTTTTTTTCTTTTTAAGAAAGAAAATGAGGAGAGGAGGTGGTGTTGTGGGGTTGGGCGGTTGCCAGCTTTATCTTTTGAAAACGATATTTTTCCCATTTATTTTATTTTATTAAAATGTTTATTGATGGGTTCTTTAACTTACATAAAACCGACCAGACTTTTTTATTAGAAATACGATGCGGTATGGTTATGCATGCGTTGCTAAATCGATTAGAACATTTTCTAATGAGTAGTTGAGTTTTATATTATGAGTTGCTTACTACTTCCTAGCTTTTTATATTTGGAAAAAGCAAAATTCATGTAACTGAACCAAGAACTCTTGACCTAGTGGTAATGGAACTCTAGTTGGCGTATCTGTTCTGGGTTTGAGTCGCCTTGGCCACATTTTCACCTATAACCGTGCGTGTCCGGATAGAAGATCTCATGGAGAGTAGTCTGAGTTTACCGTTTGGGATTCTTCACGGTTATAAAAAAAAAAATCATGTAACTAATGACAAATTATAAATAAAGAAAATGCTAAGATGAAGGGTAAAATCAGAATTTAAAAAATTGAACCAAATTCGTTCTAAAAAATATATTATTGATCTGAATCGAAACTGGTGTAATATCTAAACGAATTTAACATTTTAATATTTTAGAATATTCAACTATAATTGAATCAAATTTTATATACTTGAATATAGTAGATTTAATATTTAAAAATATATCCAAAATATTTTAAAATTATTCAAAATATTTAAAATATATAAATGATCAAATTAATATTTAAAATAGCTAAACAATTCTTAAAATATTTAAAAATTTTAACTCATGTTCAAAATCTGGATAAATCTGAACCGAGTTTAAATAGGTACCCGAACATCCTAAGGAAACGGAACATGTAAAAAGCCATCAAAAAGTTATTCATGGCCTTATAAGCTAAAAGCCCTTTAACTAAAATAAATACCCGCCGCCACGTATCATCTCGCGGATTTTTTTTTTTAAAATGGGTAAATTAATAAAGAAAGGAGGTCGTAAAAAAATGCAGTAAAATTCACAGTCACTATCCTCTTTTTCTTTTATCCGCTAGGGTTTTGAATCAAAGGTTCCGTCTCGTCGTCTCGATTTATCGCCCATGGCGAAACCTAGTCGTGGCCGTCGTTCACCTTCCGTCTCTGGCTCTTCATCCCGTTCCAGCTCCAGATCTCGTTCGAGTCCGTCCAGGTCTGTTTCGCGCTCCCGTTCCCGTTCAAGATCGCTCTCTTCTTCTTCTTCATCGCCTTCCCGTAGCGTCAGTTCCGGGAGTCGCAGTCCTCCACCTCGCTCCAAAAGGTTAGGGTTTCTTTCTAACTATTTTCCAATTCGTTTCCTATTGGATTTGTTAATTCGTTAGCCGCAATGTAGAATTTTAAGATTGAAGACTGTTGTAACTAACTTATTTTAAATTCGTGTGACGTGTGAATGTTCTGATTTATCTTCGCAGTTCTGGTGGGCCTGGTAGGCGAGGTCGCTCTCCTCCTCCTCCACAGTCTAAAGGAGCCTCTTCACCATCTAAGTAATCTCATAACTCGTTCGTATATTGTACTTTTAGGATGTTACATCATACTTAACATTAACATCTCTCTTTCTCTGCTCCCTCTATTTATAGATTGTGTGAGTGTGAGCTGAGAATGGAGGCTTAGTTAGAATAATGCAATTACATTAGAGAACCGTTTCAAATGATATGTAGTTTTATCAATATTTTTAATGCATTAATTATTTACTCACTTTTGCTGACTTTGCAATCGAATTATAATTACAGGAAAGCTACACCTATTCAAGAATCACTTGTTCTCCATGTTGATTCTCTCAGCAGGAATGTGAATGAAGGCCATCTCAAAGAAATATTCGGTATGTTTATTGGGTTTTCTTATCCCTTCTTCGTATATGATAACTGAGTACACCACTGCTTTTGTGTTTTTGACCTCAAACCTCGTTACTGTCATGGACCATCACTGGCGTTATTGCTATTGTATTTTTGTTTTCTGCTGGCGAATTTACTTGTCCGCATTGTTAAATCTTCACATTGTGTGTTAGTAATTGGTTTTTGTTCTCGTATTTTGTAGGCAACTTTGGTGAAGTTGTGCATGTGGAACTTGCTATGGATCGAGCTGTAAGTTGCTATTTCGATGTTCTCTGTTATTTTTTGGCATTACGTGTTAAGAAATATGTTCATAATTCATTTGCATGTTAACAGGTTAATCTTCCAAAAGGATATGCTTATGTTGAGTTCAAGGCAAGAGCTGATGCTGAGAAAGCTCAGCTTTTTATGGATGGTGTATGTCTCTTTCCAGATATGAAATGCACTATGTTATTTACTTAACATATTGTCTAAGAAGATTTATGCTTTGTCTTCTTTTTTTGTTTATTTAACGCAGGGTCAAATTGATGGAAATGTTGTCAAAGCAAAGTTCACATTGCCACCGCGTCAGAAATTATCTCCACCCCCTAAACCTGTCTCAAGTGCACCAAAAAGAGATGCTCCAAAATCTGATGCTGGTGCTGACATTGAGAAAAATGGGCCCAGGCGCCCAAGAGAGAGTACGTCTTTGTTTATATTTCTGTCATTGTTGCAACATATGTTCTAATTTGTGTCAATGACTCTCAATCATCAATATGTGATTAGCTTCTCCGCAACGAAAAGCAGGACTTTCTCCAAGAAGGCGATCACCTCCGCCTAGGAGAGGCGCATCACCTAGAAGATTACCTGATTCTCCCCCTCGCCGGAGGCCAGGCTCTCCTATCCGCCGTCGTGGTGATACACCACCCAGGCGCAGAGCTGCATCGCCATCTTCTCCTCCAAGACGACGTAGATCTCCTCCAAGGTCGCCTGTTTGCTCTATTTGTTTTCTGTGGCTATTTTAGAATCAGTCGCTCATCTTTTATGTATCAACAGGGGCTCCCCTAGAAGAATCCGTGGCAGCCCTGTTCGCAGACGGTCTCCTCCTCCTCTCAGACGAAGGTACAATTACAAAAATTATTCTTCTAATATTGGGACGATAGGAATTACTGGTTTGTACATTGGAGCTAGAAAATGTGTCAGTTTTGTAAATATATTGAGTTGGCTTTAGGTCACCTCCAAGGAGACTACGCAGTCCTCTAAGAAGATCTCCAATCCGCAGACGTAGCCGATCCCCAATTCGTAGACCTGGTCGCTCTCGTTCAAGGTCCATTTCACCCCGCAGGTACGTCTAAACCCATTTAAAATGTTGTTTTGGTTATTGTTGACATCCGCCGGATAGTACTTCGTTGCAGTCGTGAAATGTTTCTTGCTCTTGCTTTTTTCTAGTGTACTTCAAGTTCTTTCTCTGTGTATCCTTGCATGTAGGTTTGTGACATATTCCTAGAGGCATATATACCTAATATGACTAAGTTAGATATATATCTATGTGGATTCTGTTATTGGTGTAAATGTGTCTTTCTTTATAAGCAGGGGACGAGGTCCAGCTGGGAGACGTGGGAGGTCATCTTCATACTCTAGTTCGCCAAGTCCCAGAAGGGTAAAGGCTTGTTGCAGATCCCTTTTCAGCTATAAAATGTTGATGCTAGTGTTTTGACTTTTTTTTGTCTTGTGTGTGCATTATTGAAACTCACAGGTTCCTAGGAAGATTTCAAGGAGCCGCAGTCCTAGAAGGTAAACAATTTCTTTGCTTAACACTAGTCCTCATCCTAAAACTGGAAACACGTTATATCTGTAGCTTGCATTCGTATAAAAATGCTCCACTATTAACTTGTGTAGTAAAGTCGATTCAAAAGGACATACAGTAAACATTTGAGACAGGCAATTTTGAAAGTTTGACGATGCCTATTGAGCTCCATGTAATTGATATTGTAACTTTATAGATATGTTCGCACTAGGTTTATCAAAGACAGTATGTGCAATGCTCAATAGTGGTGATCATCTTTGATCTGATAGATAATGAGACTGGTGAAACAAAGACTAAAGCAGTTGGTTCAAATAATCTTTTAAATGTTATAGCTCTCAAATTCCAAACACAGAGAATGAGTTTGTTGTTAAATGTGTAGGCCACTGAGAGGAAAAAGAAGCAGCAGTAACAGTAGCAGCAGCAGCTCACCGCCTCCTCGCAAAACATAATGTAATAAAACTAGCTTCTAAAAACTCCATCTCCCATATTTTGACTGAAGTTTACTAGTGTGACCAAATGAGAGTTTGTGGCTTTTGTAGTTTTTAATGTTTCAAGCTTCTATTGTGGTTTGGATTTCAGTAGTCTTATGTTATGAGTACGACGGACACTTTTTAATCACTCGCAATAAAAAGCTAAGACGACGTCGAAAAGTAATAAAGCAATGAGCACGATCGTGTTAGGCCAATGAAACAATCCAAGTCGTTGCACTCCTAAGGCTAAATGTAAAACATAAGTCTTCTCGGCAAGTAATCACAGACATGGCTCTTCCACTACATGTATGTGTGAGATAAACAATTGATTACTAATCAAGCTCCAAGGTGGAATTAGAATATTAAAGGAGAAAAAAATGCTTAAGAAAATAATTGGTCCCCAGCTCAGCTGTACAGCCACAAACTTACTACGTCAATTTCATTTTCTTTTGCATGGCGTTTTTTAAACTTCCTCTTGAACAGAAATGGAGGCGAGAGAAGGGCAAAAAGAATCTTTGAAAAGAAAATGGAGTTCTTCAATATAGTTATTAACAGTACAATACAATCGAAATAGATAAAAAGAAAAGAGTTTTAACAACATACATGACCGGTAACAATGAGAAAGAATGTGTATTAAAAAAAAAATCTTGAGTAGCTGCAAAAGCTAAATAACTTTGCGGTACTCTGCAAGCGCCCATATCGGGAAGATGTTTCTGTATGTGACATAGTTTAGAAAACAATTCTTCATGAACACTCCTGTCATTTCCTGCACACACACCATCAAACAACAATAAATATATGTTTTATCAACTTACAATAATAATAATCTATAAGTATATATACATCATTTCTCTGGTCAATATGACTAGAGAGAGATAATATAGTACTACCTGTTGAGGATAATCTCCGTTTTCTAACTGTGAATTGATGATTAGTTTGGCAGCACGGTGAAGAGGCAATGGATCTCTCTCAGCCTATCAACAAAACATTAAAACATAACATACTTTTTTTTTAACAAATTACTTGGAATAACAAATGTTTGACAAACCTGTCCCGTTTGAATCAGACCCATCAATGCCCAACAGGTTTGCACCAGGTTTGACCTTTCTCCTTCTAACTCAATGTATCTCTGCATTATCCAACAAGATTCAAGACTCTGTATCTTAACTAAAACGTTGAATTGATTATATAATAGACATTACCTTTTCAGAGCAAGACAAATAGCTTTCTCCCCAACCTCCACTGCTGTTTTGTTTCTTGAGAAGGAAACCAACACCTTCACGTATTGCCAAACAGTTTTCATACGTTTTACCAACTGCTACTAAGCCTTCAAGAGCAAACCATGTTGCATATGTGTAGCATACTCCCCAGCTTCCATACCTGCCAATAAAAAGTCCTGATCATGCTTTGCCCTTAGTTATACACAATTGTTTTAAGTTTAATGGACCGTACCATGAACCATCTTCTTCTTGTGTGCTTTCTATGAATTTCACCGCTTTTTCAATGGTTCTATCAATCTCTTTCTTCCTGTGATTTGGATATAGTTTCTTGAACATGATCAACGCTTGGATAACTGATGAAGTGCATTCCACGTACTCACGCTCTATTACAAGATCAGCCAGCATCTCTGTAGGGTTGAACAACTATAATACATATTTATAAAAAAAAAAGGATTAGGGTTGAGTCTATAATGATTAAAACTATTAGTTGTCTTTGAAAAATAAAATATCAGAGTGAGTTATTACTTCTAACCATCCATATCCACGAGCAGGCTCCCATGCTGTCATACCTCCATTTTCACTCTACAAAACAAAGCAATAGTCATAAAAAGTTTGATTAGTTTAGTCATTGTTTCATCAAAAATGTTTGTCTTATGGTCTCACCTGATAAGATAGTAAAAGGTTCACTGAATCATATAGATACTCAGGATCCATTTTTGGGCCAACAACGTCAGGTGACATCTTGGAGAGCAGAAGACAACACTATGAAACCACAAAGATGTGAGTTAGTTGAGACAAAACATTATCTTTAGAACACAACAGAAGCTAAGTTTGTGTTTTGGTTTGATTACTTTAAATGCTTCAGCTGAACAATCTGAAACATTCCAACCCTGATCTCGATCTGAAAAAGTCCATCCTCCTTTGGATAGGTGCCGGTTCATCTTCTTGAAATCTCCCGAAGGGTTTTCTCTGATCTTTAAAGTTCTTTAATTTAGTAAAAATACACATATTCAACTAACTCTATAAAACATTATAATGAATCTACCTGAGACTTCTTAATGAAATCATGTCCTTTCTTGAGTACATTGGAGATTTCATCAGAGAGGTTACTAGCAAGTAAAGCTTGTATCGCAAGCGATGCGTCCCAAAGTTGACTTCCAAAACTCTGTATCATAAATACTTGGAACTCAAGGAACCTTGTGATAAAGCGTTTACATGGGTTAAAACTATACAAAACTTTACCTGAACTTTCATTCCATCTTCAGCAATCCACATATAGTCTGGAACTCTAGCTAGATGCTTCTTGAAATATTCTCCGTTTGGATCTTCAACCCAACAAGCAAGTACGCACATTGCCTGATTCAGTCAGATCATACATTTTTTTAATCATTCTTGTCATGTTTTATGAATTTTTTTTTTCGGGAGGTCACGCATCCTAGTACTATTCTAAAAAAAAAGATTACTCAAGTGTTGTTTCACCTTCTCAGCGCATCCAATGTTGATATACCGGCTGTTTTCATCTTCATAATGTATATACTCCATCACAACCCTAAGAGCCTTTTCTCTCACAAGCTTATTCAGTGGCCAATGTGCAAGTAAAGGCTCCACAAAAACGTGAAGACTGTCCCATACCATGTCTTGAATTGAAGGATGTGGATAATACATGTCTTCCTACATGGTACAAACATAAGAATCTTTACCAACCGAAAAGAAACAAATTAATAAAATGTGAATCTTTACCTTTGCGTATAAACGTCTTGCTCTATTCCAATCGATTTCTTCATAAGATTGTGAGTATAATTCTTCTCGAAGTTGTTGAATAAGAGTTGTTATTGGACCAACAAATCTCTTCCCATAAAAGTAAGACGTGACCAAATAAACCAGTCGGCAAAAGCATGTAGTTTTCCCTGTGTCATTAACCATTATTGTTTCTTACTTCAGAATCATCATATTACACCAACATTGTAAGTTAAGTGAGGAAAAAAGTTTACTCCAAGATGTTACAAAAAGAACAAACCAAGATGTATTGGAAGCCAAGAAGGTAGGAGCCAGATCTCTGGAGGCATTGGGTTGGTTCCACTCCAATCATAGATTCCAAGTATCTACACAGACAAATACAATGTTGGATATAAACACAACTACCTTTCTCATATATATATAAATAAATATATTTCTTATGTGCGTAGTTGGCTCTCAACCAGATGAAACATTCGTCTAGACCTCCAAATTGTAAAGAGATATAATACATATACATTATTACATAGATTCTAAATTATCAAAAAATATTATTAGGATAAGGTCCGTCTTAAGGCTATACTGGACCCTGTGCCAAAAAATTTTTTGTATACAATTAACTTAAAATTTTGTAAAAAAGAGTCCTAAATTTTTTTAGAAAAGACCTTAAATCATTAAGTAAAAATTTTTAAAATAAATGGGTCCTGTGCAATTGCACCTTGGGGACATGGCAAGAACCGGGCCTGATTCGGATTAACCTAAAATTTTATGACTCCCTAAATCTATGATCTGGTTCTGCTTATATGTCAGAAAGACTTACCGAGAGCCAAGATTTACCCCAAGAAGGTATGTAACTCACACCACCATGATCAATAATCCATTGCCTGGCTCGCTTGCAACCGTTTCTTGGACCACCATCTGGACCTTCTCCAAGAAAACGCAAACATATGTAGTTCAGTGCGGTGCAAAACATACCGCTCTTGCCTTCTATGTGTAATCCCCATCCACCATCTTCATTCTGAGAAGCAAAACATAGCATGAAAAATTTAATATCAGATCATTTTTTTCGAGTTCCTTTTACTCAAGTAGACTAGTGCAACACTGTACCTGGTGACAGTATATATAACGTAGCATCTCTTTACGATGCTCTTTAGTGAATATCTCATCAAGATGTCCTGTGATATAGAAACAGAACACCTTGCAACAACAACAATAGAAACACCCATTTCAGTTTTCTTGTTTCACTAAACTTTTAGTCCAAGAAAGGCTATCTGGCAGAAAAACTTACCATCACAGGAACATAGAAGAGTGGACCAGTGATTTCAGCTGGCCAGTGGCCGTCGCTGCTTTGCAACGCTGAGAAATAGTGAACGGATCTTCGTAGTGCATTGGTCGCTGTTTCGTGCGTGATTCTCTCGGCATCGTCGACCTTCACCGGTGGGATTACTTGCTCGAACTTCTTCTCCGCGAGGAACTAAAATGGTATCATTATGTTAAAATATCAGCAATCTTTTGTATCAAAACAAAGATTAAATTATCATTTATTGCCAAATCCAAAATATACTATCACAGGTAGGAAAATTATAATTAAATTTATTTTGTTTACAAGAAATGTAGTTACATTTAAAGAAAGATTTTTAGAGTATTCATCACGTATATTAAGAATGCAATAGATATTTACGATTAAATTTATTATTTATTTGATTTTACTCTTTCTAATAACAATCAACCAATAGTATTTAATCAGTTTGAGTATATTTAATAAATGTTTCTTAAAAATATACAAAAGTATCTTAAATATATATAAAAAATTCTATCTTTATGAAAAACAAAAATAAAATCTAGAAAATTTTAGTTCCGGGAACAGAGGGAGTATATGATTTTGTTAAATCATTTCTTATAGAAACAATGGATTAATTACGTTTTAGATAACCTAACTTAATTAAGCTTATTAGTCTATTTAAAAATAACATATTTTCAACCTTAATCCTTAGTATTTCTAATATATACGTAAATTAAAATTATGGGTGTTGACAAAAAAAAAAGGAAAACATACTTGCATGCGCCATAAAAGATCACTGCAAGCTTTAACCCGATGGCGATTATCATCAAAACTCCGACGAGTCTCCTCGACTGCGGCTCGTTCCTCCGACGTGCCGGCATTTGGATCAAACTCCCATATTTGCCGACCAGCGAAGTTGTTTGTGCTCATCAAATA